GGTATGTTGTTATGGTATACAGGACAAACACCAACATCCTTTTAAGACTAAGTGCCGCATTAAGTACCGCATTAAGTGCCGCATTAAGTACCGTTTAACAACGTTGCTGGTTGTTACCATCTTGTTACCGGATAACGCCGTTTATCACTGTTTTTACTATAATTTCTTTTTTTTTGCAATAGGAACAATTATTGTTCCGTTTATCGACCAGATCTCATAAACTTTTACAAACAAGTATTTATAAGTTTGTGACTGCAAGCCAGACTTTGTTGCCACATGGTAACCAGCTATTCGTTAGAATTAGACGGCGTCATCTGATACTTGACGGTAATAAACTTCGTTTGTAACCGTTTCTAAAAAGCTCTTAAACGACGGTAAGTAGCTGGCCCATCATGCATCGACTGTTTTATGATTTATTACGAACCACGAAGGGGAATTCGCCGGCCGTAGCGTCTTCTGCATTATGAATCCTAAAGTTCTGTGTGTTGTTGAAAACTTTTCTTTGCAGACTCCCCTCACATAATGTAACAGCTTGTAGTAAGACTGCCAGTAGTTTAACACTCTGCTGGAGTCTGGACGTTAGGTAAGTTTTAATAATAGCAATTTAACTAAACATTTAGATAGTTAATTTCAAATAATCTCCACGGTGAAAGATTTCACTCCTGACATTGCCAGGAATAAGCCTGTCTGAAAATAAAGCTAAGTATACGTCTAGAATGTTCTCATCCCTGGTTATGTTCCCTAGCCCCTAGGATTCACATGTCTTGAAGTGGACACATTTATCTCACCATGATGGTAGTTTTTTCTGATTTGTGGTTTACAGACCCACTCGATTATAGTCAGTTATGTTTTCCGGTCGTTAAGTTCGAGCACGATTATCGAGTTATTATAAACTTTAGTAAAATTAGCAAGCAACGACTGTTATAGATGGTACGAGACAAACAATTGTAAAAGGTTTTGACATCATTAATATTATTTTAAGCACTGTTTGAAGTAAGTTTGTGGCTAAAACAACAATATGATTGATGAAATTAATTGCACAAATTAATTGTTGTCTGTTTACAGTCGTGAGATGCAAGACATGCCAACTGCCACGTATTGCTTACACTTTACCAAAAACAAAGCACAATAATTTCATTTCTACATCTAGGGATGGGATCGACCAGGGGTGTCATAGAATTTTAAGAATGGGGAGAATGTTCTGTTATCATGTTTTTCAATATTGAAGCACTTATTAAACTTGACAATCTTTTGTCCGGTGAAAATGTATAACCTCAAAAACAAAGTCAGTGTCATGTCAGTGTCATATCAGTGCAATTCTTAATCTCGGGATTGTTTTTTGTTAAGTTAAATTTGTTCTTTCCATGGATGCAATCCCCTCCCACAGTAATTATATCCTAATCTTGTGTTGAACCTTTATTTAAAGATACTCATTACGGGTAAATGCCTCACAGAATGGCTAGCCTCACGGCTACCGGACAACTGAACCCAATTTGGACTTTTCCTAGACAGGGTAGCTTGGGAAAATAATTATAAACCCAATCAGACTACCTAATTAACTTTGAAACGACAAAACAGAGACAATATTTCATTAATGTTAATTTTAATAGGTAATTGTAAATAAATAATAATTATTACTTAAAATCTCACACAAAATTGTAACTAATTTTTTATATAAAACTGGTAGGTTTTGTGGATACCATATGAAACAAAAGTCTTCTGGCAACACTTCCTGTGGTGAAATCATTAACTATGACCACATTTTCTGGCATAAATATGACTGTTTATGTAGAAATTTTGAGCACTGAAAATTTGTTTTCAAATTTTTGAACTAAGTTTACATTTTGGTGAGAACTTCTGGCACCAGTATGACAGAAGATGTTTAAAGAATAGTATTCATCAAACAAAACGAACATTGTTCAATATAGGAAGAAAAAAATGTTAAAATGGCTACACGCCTCACAAAATGGCCACTTAGTTCAAATTTTTGAACTAAGTTTGCATTTTGGTGAGAACTTCTGGCACCAGTATGACAGAAGATGTTTAAAGAATAGTATTCATCAAACAAAACGAACATTGTTCAATATAGGAAGAAAAAAATGCTAAAATGGCTAAACGCCTCACAAAATGGCCAAAATATGCCTCACAAAATGGCCAAAATTTAAAACTCCTTTTATTCAATGAAACAATAAGTCTAAAGTATTCACAAGCTATTTATCATGCAATAACACCCCAGATGGAGTGTTTTTACAGCCGAATGAAGGTTATAAATCATGAAATCAGGGAATATGAACAACACCACACAAAATGGCCATTTTTGGTGTAGGAAATTATGCCCTTTTTATTCAGTTCTAAGAAATTTCACCTATATGGGGGTGTTAACAAGGCATATTAATAGCAGCAGCATGCCTGGAACAAGAACCAAAGGTTTTAGAAAAATAAAATTTTCCCGTTTTCATTTTTTTTTGGCCATTTTGTGAGGCATTTTTTCTTTTTTGTGAAATAATTTTTCACAGCTCAGTTTTTTCGTGAGTTTTAGGTTATTACCCCATTCCTTAATAGGTTTTCTAACAACGTGTGGTGATAGAAATTTAAAAAGTATCTCCATCAAATTTGGCCATTCTGTGAGGCATGTTTTTTTGGAGGAAGATTTTCCGGCCAATTTTTCTCAAAGAAAAAATGTTTATGAGATTAAATCAACCCCCGGGAAGAAAAATATGAGTGTCAACTTAGCTTCTTATGAGATAAAAACTGGAATAAAGTGTGTTTTGTGATTTTGAGAGACCTTCCTTTTTTTGGCCATTCTGTGAGGCATATACCCGTAAGAGTTAAAATTCATTATATATACTCCTGGGCCTTGGCTAAAGCCAATCAGTAATGGTGAGATCTACCGTCTACAGATCTAATAGTCTTAAAGTTACTGGTATGATGGTACGGGGCAATTAACCTAAAACAGGTTGCATCAGATACAGTTTCAAGCTTTACCGTTCATTTTGCAATCATCTGGTTATATGTTCCGAATTTCTACGAACCAGTTATGGCCAGTTGTGGCTCTTTTAGCCGTTTAGACACTAAGTAGCAAATACTGCAATGCATTTAAGCGTGGATATGAAGTAGGCCTGCAATAAAAATAGGTTACTAGCATATTACGAATGGACCTCATGCAATCAGTAGCCAAACTGTTGCTACGTTATAACATCCTCAGTCTTGTTGTTTGTAGCCCGGGTATAGAAGCAGCAGTCGAAATCACCCATAGTGATTAGTGACGTTATCATCACACCGTTACCATAGTGACGTTATATTATCATCACACCGTTATCTTAGTGACGTCATACCACTGCCAACATGTATAAAATGCGGGGGTTCCATGTCCAAAAGCTGGAAGTGTTGCGGTCTTCCAGCGCTGAGAGCACCTGTTCCACTCGTTCTGTCTCCTGCTCCAGCAACATATCTCACTCCAGTTCAGGTTAGTCTAACTCTGACTCCACCCTCGCAGATTCAACCACTTAAATTTCGTTTAAACCAGATAAATTGCGCAGAAAAGATTGAATCTGACTTTGTTGCTTGAACTTAAAACGATCACCTTCCTTCGATTAAGCTAATAACCCTAAATTGTCCCCAAATTGGTTATTACAATTATTGTCTTTGCATTTCCTGCTTAAATTGGCCATATTGCCCTAATTTCATATTAGATTGTGATCCATAAACTGGTGTCGAGTGTTCTTGAACGACAGTATTTATAATAAATCGAAGTGTCGGGCCAGTTTCGATGGAGAAACTCCCAATCTAAAATTCAGTATAGTGATGCCTGATGGAGTAGTTAACTCACAGTCTAGTAGTTAGTAGCAACTTGTCAGTCCTGGGAATATTTATGTGTCGTTGTTTTTCTAACGGATACTGTAACCGGATATCAGCCTGGTTTGGATGCTGTCCTATAATGCTTAGATCAAAAAGTTTGCAACTAAATTCTTTATAAGTGATATGATTTTTGAGTATCAAAACACTTTCGGACAGCTTTGGCTCTGTTTTAAACCGTTATTATATAACGAATATATCCCCTAAATTGGGTGATGTATGCTTCATTTCCTGAATTGTTCTAGCTGGAAGGGCTTGACACATTTAATAAAGTTACTGACCTGCCCCAGCTTGATATAATTGTAGACTGAGAAAATGTTACAGAAATGCTGAAACGGAAATAAACTTGGCGAAGTAATTTTTCTGAATCTTAAATATTTTGCCTGCATAAACACAGAAACTTGGAGCTTGGACAGTCGAAGATAGACATTAACTAATCGGATTGAATTTACTCAATGAATTTTGGGTTGGATTTTTGGGTTGGAGACGGATAAGTACAGTCAGTTAGTGGATATGGACTTCTACAGCTTCAACCATGATCCAACCTATATATGTTGCAGAATGTCCTGCCCAAAGAAATTTATAATTCCTGTTACTTCACCATTTTATAACATTTACAGCCACAAATCGCTTAACATGTAATACTGCAGCTTTTGAGTTTGGTACATCCAATACAATTGCGCGGATGCGTCAATTAGTAATCTCGACATTGGCTAAAAATAAGATTCAGTTATTATCAATCCTTATCCATGTCGATTGTTGAAGTAATTGAGGTTAGTCCAGGAAACCAATCTAATTCTAATGATCGGTTCATTAAGTAATCATTGCATTGTCTCCGATCGTAGCTCAATATTTTGTACGTATTTGTAGTAAATCTTGTAATCCCAAAATGGATGGTGCGCCAAACTTCTGAGTAGCTCTTGAGTATTGAGTTGTGAGTTTACTTAACTGTTGAACGATGCTCTATTTAGGCTATTTCCTGTCTCCTGTTTGTCAGATAAGTGCTGGTATGAAAGCATCTGGGAGACTATTAGTCTCTGAAATTTATAGGCGTGCCATGTAGAGTTGGACTTTTGTATTCTTGGTGCTACAGTGAAAGTGAAAGTGAAAGTGGAAATTAAAATCATCAATTTCCAAAATTTCAGATCCTCATAGGATACCCAAGGTGAAACGGAAAGTGATGGAGAGAAAGTTCAGGATCTCACCGGCAACTTTGAGAAACGAACTTGAAAACAATGACGTTTATAATAAGTGAGTAGTGACTAATAGAGTGACTAGTTAGTAGTCAGTAGTGGGTCACGTGAAGTTTTAAACCCGGTTTATCTTCTTTCAGCTCAATTGTAGACCGTAGGGTAATGTTCACATTCTATTACTTCCATATCCATCCTGATTGACTACCTATCATTTATCGCATATCTGGTATTTCGATGAAACAATTTCGTGATTCCTGAAAACATCGTCCCGAAACAGGGTTTAAACTTTTTAATAAGTCTTGTCTGAAACTGTTCTCCGACCAGCAACTACCTGGAGACAGTCCTCCTGGATGAGTTCTTAACGAACCTGGTTATGAAGGAGTACGTGTGGCAACTTAACAGACAGGACATCAAATGGTAAGATCTGGGAATATTGTCAGCATCCAATCGTATAAATATTAAATGTACATTTTTTGTGCCAAACTTGATATGTTTTCTGAGGAGAATGGTTGATTCTGTCAACGATAGGGCATGCCCAGCAATATGATTTCCCATCGATATTAATTAGACTATATGTCTCGTCGATTTGAACAGAGTCAGGGCAACTACAAGTGCCTTGATCCTCATCGGTTATTGGAATATAACTTATGTTAACTCGCAAGAATCTCGAAACTTAGCTATAATAAGTCTAGTAGTGCAATTAGAAGAAATTTTGAGGACTAGATTATGCAGTTGACCAATGACCATTGACCAATAACCATGGAACACGATTATATATAATTCATGTTGTAGAATGAGGTATTGAATCCGAAATCATATTATTATTATAGAAAATGGTTGTATAACAGCAATCTGAAGACGTTCTTGCCAACAAAATTGTTAAATAACTTAAGGTTAGGGTTGGCCGGTTGGCGATAAGCTTTATGCGAAACCGTTTTGTTTGACTGCAAAACCGTAAAAACCCAAGTCACGTGATCACTTTTGGGCGAGCGAAATAACTTTTTACAGGGCCAATTTAGCTGAAAAGACTCTTTTAGCTATGCGGTATGCCTATAGTTATACAGTTCGTCAGCTATAATTCCGCTTAACCTCAAAATCTGCCAATATTTCAGTTTCAATAATGAGGTGATTGGAAACATAAAAGCGACGGTGGGAGAGAAACTGCCCACGAAGATCAACAGGGAGATCCTAATCCGCTCTATACCTGCGGAGAACAACTACCTTGTGAGGATTGGACACCGCATTCCTTCTGCAGGTAAAGTTTGTTGGTTATGCTTGAAAATGCCATGCATCGTAAAATAGGATAGTTGCGACATTCTTTCTTGTTACCTTCACCGATTCAGTTGATATCAGTTATTGTATATTCCTTTCAATATATACTTTCAACACTACTATATAACAAATAATTTGAGGAAACGATGTAACAGAGTCAATATGTGTTAATTTTTCCATGGGGTGGCAAGTCCCCATACATCGTAGTCCGATAGTTTCACTGCGTCATAATATATCATCTTTCTCAGACTTCCTGAAGTTGTGGAGGAACTACGACACAGATCACTCGGGATACCTGGAGATCAAAGAGCTTCAGTTTCTTGTGCACGACTTTGCTCAGGTAAACAGGGCTTACAGTCTACAGATTGAGATTTTGTGGGGGTATGAGTCTGAGGGAGTCTGAGGGAGTCTGAGTGACTTTCTGTTTAAGAGTAAATCACATGTCACAAAACTGATTAAATAAGCTGCTCAGTTACCGTAACTCGCAAAACAGTAACCCTTTTAGATAGTTTTATGTCTGTGATATTGTAGCGACTTAAGCATGACTATCAACTCTGGTACCCCCCATTAGCTGACTATTAACTCTGGTACCCCCCATTAGCTGACTATTAACTCTGGTACCCCCCATTAGCTGACTATTAACTCTGGTACCCCCAATTAGCTGACTATTAACTCTGGTACCCACCATTAGCTGACTATTAACTCTGGTACCCCCCATTAGCTGACTATTAACTCTGGTACCCCCCATTAGCTGACTATTAACTCTGGTACCCCCATTAGCTGACTATTAACTCTGGTACCCCCCATTAGCTGACTATTAACTCTGGTACCCCCCATTAGCTGACTATTAACTCTGGTACCCCCAATTAGCTGACTATTAACTCTGGTACCCCCCATTAGCTGACTATTAACTCTGGTACCCCCCATTAGCTGACTATTAACTCTGGTACCCCCCATTAGCTAGTAGGAGAAGACGTATCGGGCGAGGATCTGAACAAGGCGCTGAATAGCCTAATGAGTGAGTTTGATGTTAACAAGGACGGTAGACTCGAGCTTGAGGAGCTGTCCCATCTCATGAGTGTGGAGGATAACTTTATGAAGGCTTTTTGTGTGAGTTACTGTTAGGCTTAATGGTTTATTGTCCCACGTCCTAATTTTTTCCACGTGGGAAGAAATGGCCAGTTTACGTTTGCGTGGCAGGCAGCGTGGGGCAAAGAATTTAAAGGTGTTTCAACTCCTATGGGCAAACCCAGCCATCATTTCAAGGCTATAGATAAAAAAGATTTTCAGCTTTCAGACATGCAATATTTTATTATATTTCACAGAATAATAAATTATAACTTTACACCTACAGAGCAGACAGTACCTGACAAGAAAAGACTTTGACAGGATATTTGCTCACTACGACACGGACTCGACCGGATACCTGGACAAGGAGGAAGTAATGGCCCTTCTGAACGATATCCTCAAGTACCACGAGTCATCTGACGCACATATTCCTGTACCAGTTCTAAAGGTCAGTTAGTACCTCTGGGTAAACTTGGGAATGGGGCATGGGGGCATTAATGGGGTACGTTGGCTCCCCAACTTTTGTTGGATGAAATTACTCAATTAGCATCTGAGATAATCAGAAATGACCCACTTTCCTCGCTTGATTTTGATTTTTGCATATTCATTATTCGTATTGATATTCCGGGTTTAATTCTAGGTGGAAAGATTGTACAATGTACAACTACATAGGGAGTTCAAATTTGAACTTTATTGGTCGGATTAAATATTTGTTCGCCAACCTTGTCATTGTGTTGTGTGTACGGAAAATTAGAGAAATAAAAAGCCAATATTTCTTAAAACTAAATGCAAAACAACAATATATTGTGTTAAAACCGTCCCATGAATGCATCAGAAAACTTATCAAACATAAGTTCCCATAAGGAGTCCCTCCAGAATAACCTGTTGCTTTTGGATCGTCTTGTGCAGAGCCTTGAAATCCGTGATGTCCACGTCTTTGCCACAGGACACTCTGACCATGTCAGCGTCCGCCAAACAAACCTGGGGATGAGAGACGATCTCAGAGATGGACATGATCACGTGGTTTATCAGGACCATGTCGCCCTTTTTGAAGTCCCCCCCACTAACGTAGCACTTCAGCGTCTCCACAGTTTTCACCACCTCCACCCCTCGCTCCTTGTTTGTCAGGTGGCTAAACATCTCGGCGCATGTGTCCTTTTTTGTTCCGTATCGGGACATCACCAGAGTCTGTATCTTCTTTGTCGTCTCCCAAGCGTCTATAATGGAGCTGTTCAAGGATTGGGGAGCTTCAGGGCAGATCCCATTTTTGTTTGCCTTCAGAAATATAGCCTGTGTGGTGGTGTGTAGGACGAGGATTGCACTGAGCGTGGTCAGGAAAGTAGATGAGATCATCGTGATGGTGTGGAGAGAGAGAGAGAATAGAGCAGTCTGATCTGATGAACAATTGAGAAGATCGATAACTGAGTTCAATTCTACGGATTGTCCCTTTTATACATTAGGCGAACTGACTGAATCATTGGGCATACGCGTCAGTTGGATGCCAGGTGGGCAATTCACGCGTAGGTAGAGATGAACCGGGATTTTCAGCAATGTGTTCGGCCGTTTCTAATGGATCAGTAATACGCATTACGCATGTTAAAACTAAGAACATTTTAAATCATTCATTTACTTAAACTATTTAATAGAAGCTAAAATTGCTGCGGATTGAAAGATCAAAGTAAAACATGACTACATGGGCGGATACACGACACGGTGCGGGGGGGTAAATTATAAATTTTACGTAAAAGAATCATTCTATGGAGCAGTTAGTTGGGCGGATCTTTGACGGAGATACTAAGAACTTAAGAACTAGCGCGGGCCGGACTAGCACGGGCAGGGTCAGTCCATTAACAATGGACAAGGTGGATCCACAAAACATTATTTGATCTAAAAGGGGTCAGATCAAAGCGACGATGAAAATTAGTCATCATAATAAGCCCGTTCAACTGCAGCACTATATTTGCAAACCATGCAAATCTCTGATAATGCATGGGGACCCAAATGTCAGTACACATACTTTAGGGCTTGTTTCTCAGTCACTCAATGCCCGATTGAAATAATTCTTGCGGGTGATGATTTGCGATTATCACTCATTCGAGGAATATATCAAATCAAACAATAGCAATGTTTATTTTTTCCGAATGAACGTCAATTTTGTGCGGTTTTTAGATATTTCGAATGATTGGAGTTGGACCGATACGAGTCAAATTGTAACTAATTGAATTTAGCATTTTAAAATAACTTGTCCTGAAAAATGGGTGCTTTAGCTATTGAGATGCCATAAATTAAATGGGATTGGGGGTCTAAAAACTGTCAAAATTGATTGCGTACGAACTTTAAATTAAAATGATTAAGTATATAAGTATAAACAGTCTCTTATTAAATTGAAACTCATTCAGGAGGTTTACAAGGAAGTAATGAAAGCGTGCGATACCAACAACAGTAACACAATACAGAAATGTGAGCTCGCTCTGCTCTTGACTTCTGTTTAGGGATAAAGCTCGGAGACCCATCGTACGGACACCATTAAAGCTCATACTTCAGATTCAGGCGAGATAAAGATTAAAAATGGACACTATTAAATCTCAAACTTCAGATTCAGAGGGATTCTAAAGATAAGGGGAGATAAAGATTAAAAATGGCCTCCTTATGTTCAATTTTAATTCATTTTCTCACTACTCAAAACTGTTTTTTTGATAATAACCACGATTTTGTTACGAATAATAAGTGAAAACTTGTAAATTTTAATGTAACGTCAGAGATGTGGGATGATCCTTCACATTAAAGTCGTTTTTGAATTGAGACTATTTGTTTAAGATGGCTTATCTCAAGAACATATTTTCAATTGACCAGTTTTGTTTTGTTATTTACAAGTTATGAATTATTTAATTGGAATTGCAGTTTTCATTAACATAAGAATAATTTGCATTTGTTTACGTATTTTCTCCTGGTCAGTAAACCTTTTCAAAATTTTGCCAAATTATTTCTGATAAATAATTTCTGATTGGGTAATTCTGATAAGAGAATCGAATGATCTTTAGGGTTCCACCAACAGTTTTAGTCGATTTTCCCTAACCTTCTTTATGTTGACTCAATTTCAGTTTCAACCTTATTTAAATTCAATTATATATAGTGTAAAGCAGAATAGTTGACACACTCCAAAACTTTAAAGTTTTTTGTGTTGGATGAAAATAAGTCTTGTAATGTGAATCCTAGCTGGTGATTGCACGCGTGTCAACTACAATTTCCTCTTCTAAGTAAAACAAGGGTCATTCATTTTGTACATTGTACAGCAAAAAGCTATAAACAAAAACAGAGTTTAAATACTCATTATAACTGACATATTCACCATCTAGCATGATATAGTTTAAAGTTAAAACGTATGTCATAAGTGAGATAAATGTAGCATTGATTATACGACTTCCATTTGATAATGTTGATAATGATTTATGAAACGTGTTTTGATTGTAATTCCAATTTTAAGGTGCTAAAAATTTGTTCGTTCATTAAATTTACTGACAATTTATGAAAGTTACGATTAGTTGAAGGAGGAGGAAGAGTTAGTTGAAGGATTACGAGGTGTTAGTTGAAAGAATAAGAGGGATTTGCTGGAGCTCCCGTAGAAGTCTGCAGATAAGTGAGAACGTCCTGACATTCCACACTGTGTGACACCTTCCTAGCCATCACATACACATTCCAATCATCCTTGTTAGCTACACTGCTGGTATTCTTGAACACTACCTCTCCTCTTAGCACGGGATAACCTGTAATTATACAGTTTTATTTAAAATATCATAAATTACCATTGGAAACAGAACAAACTGTAAAGTCTATAGTATGAATAGGTTTAGAAATGAACTCTGAAAAAAATGAAATGTAAAAGTATAAAGGATAATACAATGGAACTAACCAGTAAGAATGCACTGAGGAGATGTGACATTGTTGTGAACATTCAGTAGTGACCCCTCATAACAACCCCTCTCGTCCGTGTTCAGGACCTGCTGGACTCTCTGATCCATGGATACTGCTAACACCCACTCTTTAGCTTCCTCACGGTCCTCCTCCTGCACAGAAACAAACAATGTTATTGTCAGAACGGAAAGGCAGCGGTTGGAGTGACGCTTTTCAAGGGGTCGTTATTACTTTTTGACAAATTTTGAACTTTAACGAGTTTAATTATAACACAGATGAGGCCAATCAGTGGCCACACTTACAGTTATGGAGTAGTCCTCTGGCAGAACGATATCGTAAGGAATATCTGTATCGCTGAAATCACTATGGTCCAACATATCAGTGCTTCCGTCCTCAATCGCATCACAAATGTCCAGGAACCTGTTAAGGAAAACAAACGCCATGTTGTTCCAGCCGATAGCACGGCATGCAATCCCAGCTTCGAAGAAAGCTTTGTCTGGGATCAGGTAGTTCGTGTAGCGCAGAAGTGAGACCTGGGATCAGGAAGAGTTTTTTATTACGGTGATCTGATCTATATCCTTATTTGTCTGAAGAAATGCAGTGTTTCAAGACATGAGCATCTTACATTTATACAATTTAGATTTATTTGTGAAACGTTAACTTACAGCAGACTTAGCGCCAATCTCGAATAGTTGTTTGTGTCCAGCAGAGCTGGTCCTGACAGAGAGAAGGTGAGCACATTGGAGCAGCGAGAAGAACTCCTTGTTTTGAGGTAACTTCTCAACCTGAGAGTAGATTTATGTTTTATAGGGCCTTCTGGTGACGTAGTAAAGCGGGCAGACTAGTTTGTAATGAACATATAACTCAGTTTTACTGAGGATGACATGTTTAATACTGTTTCAGTGAATGAATCTGACTCACGAGAGCTGCGAGAACGTCTCTGAGAGCAGACCATGTTTTAAAAGCTGTGAGGGAACTAAAGGATTCTGTCAGGAACAAGTCGTTACACAACCTCCTAAACAAGGAAATACATTATAAAACATGAAACTCTAACCGAAACCACAATTAACATAATAAGAAAAATCAGTAAGCACAGAGATTTTACTCAGATTCTAGTATACATATTACACAAGTTGAAGATGTGCATGTACGAGATTGGTTTATCTGCAATCTGCATGATACTACAAACGAGGAAGGAAATTGTACCTGTAAAGGTTGAAATTTGCAGTGTTATCAGAAGTTCCGTATTGAGTGAAGACTCCAAGTGCCTGGATGGGTTGTCCGTCTTGTAACAACTGAGCTGCGTACAGAGCCACGTACTTGTTCAGAACTTCTTTGCCCTGGTGATAGCCGTATTATACACCAGATTCTACTGACAACTTCATAATCTCTAGTCCGAGTAGGACTAATGTTCGACTAAAGGATTAGCAATGGTAGAAAACAACTGATTTAAAATAATATCTTACCTCGTTTTCTGCTGTCTGTAGACACTTTGCCCACTGTCCCCTGTTCGCTAACAGATCTAACCCCGCTATTACATCCACATTGGCAAGCTCCTCGGCCTTGCCTCCTCTCTTCAAACTCTCCACGTACTCCTCCTCCACCCTGTGTTCGAACTGTGGAGCGTGCTCCCTCGCCACTGCTCGAGCCCTGTCCCACTTGTCCCCCAGTATAAACGCGTCAATACTCTCCTTGTACCGCTCGATTGACAGATACGCCTCGCCCGCACTCTCGAACCTGGAGATCTCAGCCAGCCGTTCTGCTACTGTTGTACCCACGTGACTTGCTTTCATTGGCACAAACTTCAGAGCCAGTTCCAGGGCTTTGTACCAAACCTAGGAGAAGAAAAGTTAGCCCCTGAAAAGAGATCAGACGCACTGTATTAGAATTTTTCTTTAAGAATATTTATATATTCAAAAATAAATTTTTCGTACAAAGTAATGGTTTTACAGTACCTTAATCTTCTAATTTGACGTTCTGTGGATCCAATTTGATGAAACCACTTTATAAATGTTGCGAAATGATTATCTATATTTAGCTTTGTTCAACTTGGTTTATCGATACACTTTCTCGTTTTTTATAGATATCTTGGTTGCCCGACTTGTATGAGGCAACTCATGGTTATGTTTGGATTGAGTACTTCTAGTTGATTGATGTTTCATGTCGGGTTGTGTGTCGTCAGGGAGGAATATAATGTTGATTGTTAATAATAATTGTTGTTGTATTTTTGTTTGTTGTTAATAATCTTTAACATACTTTTAGGAGTTTTATTTTTTACGCCCGCTTTTTGTTTGTCAAAAAAAGTTTTTTTTAAATCCGTTTCTTTTTTTCTTCCTCATTTTTCGATTGTTTTTTTTGTACTTGCAGACAGCTTATCGAAAAACAAATAACTAATTACTTTAAAACAGTCACAGCACCAGAATGTACAATAAGACAGAGTTCTTTGAGCACTACAAGAGTGCAGATCTTACAGTCGGGACAATATATCTGACCTGCTTTGCATGTGGACTCCCGAGCAACATTTTAGCTCTCTGCTTCTTTGTGAAACAGCGCCTGCGATCTTCTGAGCTGAACAATCACCTTTACATATTGACCACTGTGAATGATGCATTCATTTCACTGCTCACCTTGAACTATGGTATGACCATGGTAAGATACAGAGATGTTTGGCTACCAGATTTCTGCCCAACCCAGCATATCCTCTTCAAGATGTCTCAAAGAATATCTGTCTTTCTAGTTGCTACACTTTCACTTAGTAGAACGTACATCCTTCTCTTTCCCCTGCGAAAAGTCAGTCAAAGATTAGTTTTGAGCCTCATTACTGTACTTGTTGTGTCCATGGCATGTTTCTTCGCAATTCCACCTTTTGTCAAGCTGGTCCAGATAACCTACCACTGGGAAGGTGGCTATTGCTGGGTTGAATCAATACCTGGGAGAACATGACTCAAGTTTGGGATGAAATTGACAATACCTTGGATACCATCTTTCTTGCATGCCCGGTCCTTCCGGTAACTGTTAGTTGCATAATTGCATCTTACAAGATCCTTTCTTCGAGGAAAGACAAGCCTGGGCTGACCAAACTTGCGAAGCAAAGTCGAGCAGCTGTGAAGAAGAAAAGAAACCAGATCACATTGACCATTATCTTGGTTACTCTTCTTTACATCGTATCCAACATTCCACTCTTCCTGAACTACATCCTGTATCTTATAACGATTTATCGTTACAAGTACCCTGGACCCTTCTACAGCTCTCCTGTGATGTACTTCTACGCCTGGAATTTCACAGCTCTTCTCAGTACAAGTCTGAACGCAAGTGCTAACCCGATAATTTATTGGATGAGATTTGGAAACTTCAGAGAGTGGATAAAAGGAGGATGTGGACTCAAGGCAACCACTTTATCTTCACTGAAAACGGGTGAGTTGTGCAACTCAAAGTCAGCGATCCAGCAGAGTAAAGGCGATTTGAGAGCTCAAACGAAATCTGTTACGCTGAAAAGCAACAAAACTTCATCAGACGTGTAGACAGAAACTTTTGGAGGGATCTGGGAAGACCATCGCTCTGGACTCAGACTATTGAATTAGTTCGGACACTCTTACACCGTGGAAACAAATGACAATAGACTCGAATTTCTTATTATAAACTGAATAAACATACTATCACCTTATATTATTAAGTCCTTTCACAATTGCATTCAAAAATTGAATAACCGTTGAATTACGAAACAGCACCAAAATTAGTCCCACAAGGAAGTACACCTTCAAGCACAGACTCCCTGGCGTTAGGTTGCTAAATAGGCTATCTTGCATTCATAAACATAAGACGTATTGTAGATCTTCAAAAATCTTGTATTAATATATTTTAAAATTAATATCAGTGATTATTTTTACCGTAGCTAAACCTCCTGATTTGACTTTTAGTTTTGCATGGCCAAATAATTTTAGTTGCATATTGCAATATGAAAGGAAATTTATATCTTTCTTTAGTTCGTTAATCATAGATTGTTAATGATATTTAACATCTGTTATTACTCACTGCTTCACTGCTAAGATAAGGGTAAACACTGTTTTTAAAATATTTAATTATGAGTGAGGTATCTCAATTCTCGTCAAAATATGCTAAAGATTATTAACGTGATATTTCCCAGCATCTAACAGAACTTCACAGATTTCATAAATATAGACGAACAATTATATTTCCACAATTGGTTTATTTTCCTCTCTGACGTAACACTAAACACAACAATCAATGAGAACTACTCAGCCCAAACATAACCATGAGTTGCATCATACTGGTCGGGTGACCAGGTTACCCGTATCTTGGTTTACATTATACATATTGGGAGAAATAAAAGTATTACCGTTACAAACCAAGTTGAACATGTACAAATTCTTCGGAAAGTTATATTTGTGTATTTACAAATTCACTATGTAGTATTCTTTTGACTTTGTGCTCTTTACAGTTCTTCGTTATAATCAACAAAGCTCCAAATTTCAAAAAGATTGAACGGTGAACAAGAAAAGTGTCCTGAAACCTCTTTTGAGGCAGACCCACCCACCACTCAACAAAATATAACAATCTACAAACCTCCTCCAAAAGAGCATAGTCGGTGGTCTGCATTACTGTCATCTTGAGATAAGCATCAATAGCTCGAGAATAATCACCGTTCGCTTCCCAAGTTTTAGCTGGAGTCAACATGTCCTCTCCTCCTCTGTTGGGGATTAAGGGATTAAGATTCTAGCACGGTGACAACTTCAGAACTCTTATTTCTATTTTAACTATTAGGCTATCTATGATCGGACGAATGTATAAAATAATTTTTTTGTAGTTTATACTTACAACCTGGATCATTTGATACATTTGGTCGTGTTTACAAATAAAGCTGGTATGTAGAAGAGATAATATTGTGCTTTTAGTGTTATCGTTGTACTACTTTAACGAGATTTCTTAGCGTTATCAATTTACAGTGATGGGACACAGCAGTTTTAAGATCGATTAGTGCATTTTTGTTTGATAAGCAGTTCTAGTCACTGCTTATCAGCTTTATATTACTAAAGTGTTTAGTTTGTTTCATACTATACCACTATACTATAATTTTCCGAGTGGAGTTGTACCCCAACCATAATTACTTACATGCTACGAATTTTAACTGATTAAATTTTGCCTTTGTTGCAATTTTTACGTTTGAGTTAATAAACTATGATGATTATTCATTATATTATATGAATTTTACTTGATAGAGTGCTTATCTTAAAGTTACATGTTTTTACAGGCTCAAATGATGTAGTTTTACGAAGATTTCAAGCCTTACGTTGTGTGTTTCCCTTCGTTTCCAAAAGCATTATAAAATAATTTTAATTGTAAAGCTGAAAGGCATTTACCCGCTAGTAGAGGCAAGATAGCTCTCATATTCATCCTGTATCAGCTGTAACTTGTGAGGCAGGTATTCTTGAGTCAGTCTCAGTGCATCCTCCCAATGGGCGCTGTCTTTGTAGAACTTCACAGCAAGTTCAGGTCGCTCTGCTCGCAGCAGGAACGTTTCTGCTTTTCCGAACTCTTTGCTCTCAAACGCTACTCGGGCCTGAGGATAATCTTTAATCAGCCTCAGATAACAAAGAATTTTGAGCACGAAACAAATCTTGGACCAAGTGTAAAATCAGGGCGACATTTATAGAGCAAGTTATTTATAGAGCATGTTATTTATAGAGCATGTTATTAATAGAGCAAGTTATTTATAGAGCATGTTATTTATAGAGCAAGTTATTGTAGCTACCTGCCCAACCAGAACATCAGGAACAGAGGCAGGGTCATGAGCTTCAGCTATCCTTTGAGCAGAGTCCCAATCTTGGCAGTGCACATACATCAGCACGGCTTCCTTGGGTCTACTCGCCTTGATAAACGAGGTTTCTGCTTCAGCAAACTTACCTGAACGGATAAACTGTTTTTGCACACCAGTTACAAGTAAAACTGATTTTCAGTAAAAGTTGGAGAATAGCATGATAATTATTTCAGTGATTGTAAAGAGAAACCTCGCAATAAAATAATAATAAAATATCAGCAGTTTTAAATAAACTAACCCTCGTCTTCAAGGTGCATCGCTTGTTTTAGATTCAAGTCGGGGAGCTTGTCCGTCATACTTTGATGTTTGCACAACTCAAACGCGTACGGGAACGCTCTGAACAAATGTACAGTTACTACTACTCACGGCTAAGAGTGGTGTGAAACATTGCATTATTTCACATCACGAAAACAAACTTAACATCACGATGCATCGTGTTCGCCATTCAATACCACTTTGAACCATAAATAGATTTCATGAAGATTCTTCAGAATATAGAACATAGGATTGACCAACGACAATTAATAAATAATAGCCATTTCTTGAAAGTCAGGTCTCAAATATGAGCCATGAATTCTGTGGAGCAACAGAAAGAGAAAGTGAGAGAATCTGTTAGAACTGACCCCGACTCAGCTGCGTAGTCAATGCACTGTTCCAAGAGACCCAGTTTCAGGAGCAGTCTGATAGCGGAGTCTCCACCAAGTGTCTTACTCCATACATATGCAACCTGAAATTGACAAACTGATCAGGTATAATGCGATAATACATGTAACATCAATTTAAAGTGAATCAGTTCCTTTATTAGCCCCGCCGGCCGCCATGTTGCTTAGCAACTCTAAAATTTACCTTTTTGGCAGCGTTAGCCCCGCCATGTTGCTTAGCAACTCTAAAATTTACCTGTTTGGCGGCGTTAGCCCCGCCATGTTGCTTAGCAACTCTGAAAGCGTCGTCCCACATGTCGGCTACTCGGTACATGTTTACACAACTCTTCCAGTCCTTTCCCTCAATGTAGTTCTTCTCTGCAGCTTTGAACTGTGCTTCGCCTTCCAGTTCCTGGGCAGGATGGGCTGTTAGAATATTTGTTACTGATAAGTGATAAGCAGGCACCAAATGTTTGTGTGCTATTAAGTGGCCAGTTGGTAATCTAGCTAGGCACACTTGGGGCACACTCGGGGCACAAAATTGAAATTCCTGGGGCGCACTTGGGGCAAAAAGTTACTAATTCCCTATTAAGTTATTGACAAATTAAATCCTCAGAGGTGATGTAAGCCTAATATTGCGTGGGAGCATTTAAGCTATACCTAAACCAAATATGTACAATTATACAGAATGCTAAACTTAGTGATACTCTGTTAATTCTTTTAGTTTGTTTTTTTTTTTCAGTCAACTCTTAACACCGGAAATTCAAAGATCGGAGAAGATGCCTGTTGCGGCTGAGAAGAAAAAGGAAGAAGAAGGGGAACTGAGCAATATTGACTCAGTTAAATTGAAGATAGGGCAGAACGTTAAGGAGTACGTTGACCGTTTTAAGAGCAGGTACTCCAAGAAAAGGAATCTTAATTATTTGTGTAAGGCAGTTGTGGGAGGGGTGGCGATTCTTGTGGTTCTTGCTTATGAGATTAGCAGTCATCGTCTCGAAAGTTCCCTCTACAAGTAAGACTTTTGCTTTGTGTTATTCGTGTGAACATGTTATTCAACTTCCTGGGATCCTACATTTGTATTATACGTATGTCGTATATTGTATAATGTATAACTAACATATTTCCACCAGCCCAGACGATGCCGTATGTGAGGATCTCTCCGAAGTTAACGAAACTATGTTTGAAATCTCTGTAGATGCTCTCAATACTTTTCGACGACAAGGTAAAATAATAAAGCAAGGTTCTGGTAGAATTCACAGGTATTTTAACTGTGGTGTCATAAGAAGACTATTAATATTAGGTTTATGAAACAGCTGAACAGTCATGGACAGTTTATTGCATTTTAAGATAATTAGAAGTTCCTTACTCGACCACCTTTCAACTTTTAGCCGGGTAAATTTTTCTAAATCCTGATGTAAGCTAACATGAGCTTTTTCCTGCTAGAATTGCGGCGGGATATGAAACAGGACACAGATGGAAGCTGGTTAATGACAATAGATGTAAATATCGGGGATCTCACTGCACAGGATGTCAATAACTTCAACAAGTAATACAGATGTACAAATGCTCACTCTGGCATAGTTTTAGAATTATCAATTATTGGATTGAGGTGTGACCGAAAAATAAAACGCTTCCAACTCATAAATTAACACACTCCACAACTTCAGATATATCAACTGCTCTGCGAAATTCAGATGGCTGCATCCAGAGGATAACGAAATGTCTTATTGGATAGGTACATCGTTTGTAAGATTTCATGCAAATGCTATGCAATCATCATACTGTTACATTGGGATATTATATGGTTTATATAATGAGGATAGATATCGTGATATTCATGCTTAAATGGAGTCTGAAGATTAACATGAATATTGAATATGATTATAGTCTCCCTCAGAGTCTCCACGAGAGGCACAGAGATCGAGAAGTAAACAAAAACAGCCCGAGACGGATCAAACAGGATCCAAACTAACTAAAGCTCCGGGTGATAAACAGAAGAAAGCTCCGGGTGATAAACAGAGGAAACAGCACCACAAACTCAGATCTCAGCACGGAAAACAACACTTCCACAAATTCAGGAGAGGGTTGGTGTGCTGTTAAAAAATTCGCTCTAACTTAAATAAGGGATTCTCTACTTAAATATCGATTATTCAATAACCCTACATAACGTCGTGTTCACCCAGGAGTTTGTCTCATGGGGATGTAAGACGATTAGTAGTAACAGCGAACACTACGTCTCAACGAATGGAGATGATATTTAATGAAAATATTTGCATCAAGGGAGGCAACCCTCACATCTGTGAATACGAGGTAATACATATGCAAAGTTTTTCTTTTATGGAACCTAATTACTAATTATTAAACACTAATCAGGTGCGTATTTCCAATCTAAAAACAGATTCGTTCCTGATTCCTTAGGAAGTCTCTATAATATCCAAATGATATCGTCTTCCTCAATGTGTAGCGATTATTGTATGTCAATAAATGCGACTCATAGACACTACTACGTTATCTAAGTCACTCAGTTTCCAGAAAAGAAAAATCATAAACCTCTCTCCCAACCCAGGAGGAAGCGGAGATGGTCTACAAAGCCAGGATTCAGCGGACAGTTGTGTGGCTGGGAAACTTCAAGTTGGGTCAGATCTCTGCTGCTGTTATTAAAGATAAAGAAGCCGGAAATAATATTCTCCGAACGAAGCTGGCGATTGGTGGGGGAGAAACTCGCTTTACCAGCAGCTCCTTCGTTAACAAAATCATCAATGTAGCAGCGGTGCCCCACGCTAGTGTAATTTTGTACGACGAGATTTATGCTCAGAATATTTACCAACACATGATGGAGGAGTCTTTTATTAGTGCTACCATTATGCAATACCTACATGAGGATTAATAAACTCTTAAAGAGAAAGTTGGCAATGTAAATTATATCATTTTATTGGACTAACACGTGATTACTTAAGACCTGTCGTGGCTCGAGAATATTTTCTTTGAACGCTATATTCGATCGGTTTCTGTCGCAATTAATTTATTGGATTGTTATGTTTTGTTTGTTTATATTCATCTTGTGCTATTTTGTGATGATGTGAACTTGCTACTGTATTTGTAATGTTAAAACCCTCTCTTTTTTTGAGTCTGCACCAAATAAAACCTACTTTTCCGAGATGTAGATGAGTGTCGTTAAGTAGATCATGATGGTAGATGGAGACGAGGCGTATCATGTTGTCGTACTGCCTCAGTTTCTTGTACATGTTGATAGCTAGGTCAGGTTCCTTTACCGTCAAATATAACCTGGTGATATTGATAGATTATTGTCAATTTATGATAGAAAGTTGAAGTCGAAGATACGTTGATTTTTGTGGATTTATTTGGCCCTTCTGAATGAAATATGATAAAGCCCGCCCCAAAAACAGATATTGTTAACAATTTAAAATTCCATCTCACTTCTCAGCCTCCTTGTATCTGCCCTTTGCCTCCATATCCTGAGCGTGTGTAATGTAAAGCACTGCTATCTCCTCCTGCTTCATGCAAGTCATCGCCACTTTGTGAGCCGCCTCCCACTCGTTCTGGGATATGTACATGTCCACTGCACTCTCGGGCGTGTCCCCTCGTGAGTAGTACCTGTATGTAGCTCCAGTTAATAGTGAATATATGAAATATCAGGTCTTTTCGGGATTATCAAAGTTCAAATCCTGATGTATAGTAACAGATTTGAAGTTCACAACTCAAATTTCGTGCTTTATATTTGTACAACTAAAATTCAACTAAAATTCAACCTCTCAGCAGTAGCAAGTTCTCCGACATGAGCATAGTGATCAGCTATGACTTTGTAATATTTCCTAGCAACCGACTCTTCTTGCGCCTCTACGATCTGGATAACCTTAGCCCATTGTCTCGAATGTATCGCTGCTTCGATCGCTTTTATCGACTTCCTGATGAAACAAGATTTGTCAGTCATCCAAATTCTGGAAGGTTGTTACAATTTCATTTGCCGGTTTATTTTGTCATGCAAACATAATATGCATAAATATAAAACAAAAGGCGCGCAATTTTTTATTGTTTTCATATCACACTGCGAAGTCAAAACGTTTAGTTTTTACAAATCTTTGTCGTCGCGCGTTACATAAATGTGGTACCGTTTGTCTTTGTCACAAATTTTGCCACAAGAATAGATTCGAAAACTGCAATTTCAAATTCTTATTTCAAAATATCGCAGCAACAATAATAGTTTTTTGAGATAGGTCCTAAATTGGATGACTAAATCGGACTAATCGAACAAATCATCTTACCCAGATTCAATGTAGTGACTGATTGCAGCGTCCATTTGCTGCTGACTCGCTAAATGATCGCCCCATTCCTCTTCAAGTGCTATAACCTCTTTCGGGAATACAAATCTTGCCAATTCTACAGCTCGTCTGAATGCTTTGCCTTGACGGAATGATTCTAGAGCTCGTTGATTCTGGTCTATTTTCTCGAACAAGTCACCTGCCTAAAAGAACACTGATGTCAGAATATGTGAAGGTAAACCCTAAATAATATTGAACCTGAATAAAAAATTATTTTTAAGAAGCAGTCTTCACTCTTTATGAAAACACAATTCAATAATGTCTTAAAAGAAGTAGCAGCACTATAATCCAATACCCGTTCATAAAGTCCTCCTTTGACGAGTTGAGATGCTATCCTTTCAATAATTTCAGTTTGGGAAGAGATATCAGGATGTGCTATTGCGATCCTGGCTGCTTTTGCAGGAAGTCCAGCTTTAATGTACATTTGTAGGGCACCCATGAAGTCACCTTCTTTCTCTAACAACTGAGATTAGGTTTGAATTGTTAGTGTGTTCGCTGTTCATCAGAGGCTAATAATAATAGAGAAAGCAGAAATTAGTAGGAAAAGTGAAGACCAATATGGTTGCGAAGTCCTTTTTGTTCTAAAAAAGAAAAAGGATGTGTCCTAATATGTTATTACTAAAATATCTTAAAACTAACAAACCTGTCCTGCCTGCTCTTCCTGCTGAGTATCAGTCAGCCACTGGAAGTAGTTCCTTCTCAACAACTCAACCTCAGGATGGTTCTTACTCTCCGCAATGCGCAGTGCATCATCCCACTTGTGCAGTTCCTGGTACATCTCCATCGCATCGTCCACATACCCCTGCTCCAGGTACAGCGCCTCAGCTACCTTGAACTGCTTGTCCAGCACTGCTAACTTGGCTTTCACTCTGAACTGCCCCTCGTTCGTCTCAGACATTGTTCTTAAGCTCCTAATGTAGCGCACTCTGCTGACGTTGCCCAGCGCTGCGTAGCACCGCTCCGCGATGTGCAGTTGTTCTGATTCTAGACTCAGTTGGGACAGGGTTTTCCACATGGCCTCCGTTTCCGGGGTCAATTCAAGGGTTTCCAGGTACAACACAGCTCTGGGGTGGATATTGTTATTAGATACACTTTTTTGAAAAGATTTCTCTACTTTTTTAGTTTTCTCTTATTCTCTACTTGTCTAATGTACAAGAATAAAATAAACTGTGACACATAACACAAACTGTGATTATAAGGAATAACAGATAATCATTCAGAGTTCACTCACCTACTGTAGTCTTTATCATCAATAGCAGTCCCAAACTCGATGAGTCCCTCGTCGAGGGTGTAGCTAATTGTAGTTACTCCTTCGTTAACAACTACCTGGTATCAATTAGATAATTAGACATCAATTAATACAATATTTCCTGATGAATTGAAAGCAATGAATATAAAATGCTAAATGCAGCCAAGAATTGTAGGTCAATTTATCTTATCATCAGTTTTTACTGAAGAGCATACCAACAACAATTATTCTCTATAAATGTATGGTTTACCTCCGTTTTGCCATCAGTCCGCTCGATCTCCTCAATGTCCCCCTTGATGGTTACCATGGTAACTCTCTCAGGACAGTCAATGTTGTACCAGACACATAAGTTGGATCTGTTTTGTGCTACACAAACGTCACTCATTGGGACCCACTGAAATGTTGTTCTGTGTTAGTTCTGTGTTAGTTCTGTGTTAGTCCTGTGCTATATTATTATTGTATTGTTCTGTTTCAATTACGTATCGAGTGGAGGATGTTTTATCTCAAAATTGTTAGATTTTACCAGTAGATTATCAAGTCATCTCCAGCTTTTGATTAAACGGTATATCTTGCTCGTTAATCTAAAAATAATCCTCAAATACGATAAATATCCCACCTGAACGTAAGAGCAGTAGTTGAGGAGAGTAGTCCTAGCCTGGGTCTCAACATCCAACAAGTGAAGTCTCAACTTCTTATCTCTAAACAGCATCTTTCTGCTCGTCTCGTTCAATTCTATCCAGTCAATTCTTGTGTCGTGAGAAATGGTAGCCAGTGTTACCCCGAATATCAGATCAACTGTAAGCAGAGGAGTTTGTTAGAGAAGAGACTATAAGCTTATAAGGTATAAGGGATATAAGCTTAAACTCTAACAGAATTCATCGCATGGACAATAATATGTTCATTTATCGAATACCATGTTCCTGTATATGATAACATACCAATAGATATGGTTTTGAGATCCACCAGATAAGCTATCTTCTTGTTATCCTCTCCACCCTTCAGCCTTCTCTCGTTTATCCTCACACTCACCAAATGAGGTGACATGAACTCTGTTCTTACCGAGCCCAGGATATCGTTGGTTCCGTATTCCACCTAACGTCAATTGTTCAGAGTTATTTTCATTTAAATGTATAAGCGAAACTGGATTGAGAAGTAGGAATTTATTTAGAATTGGTCGTTTTCCAGGCTGATATATTATAACAGATTGGGCGACATCTGTCCGACAGCGACATCTGTCCGACAGCTGAATTAGGGATTTCGGACAGATGTCGCTGTCGGACAGGAGTCGTTTTTGGCGACATCTGTCCGAATTTCGGATCATATTGTCATTTCGGTTCACATTCGTATTTCACAAGCTCACGGGTAATCTCGTGACGTTCTAAAGCTGATGTGATCCATCGATACGTGATTGACTAGTTGAGAACAGGATCGTGCTAGCCGTACCCTAACAAGCTGTCGATCACATCACAGGACATGAGTACATATAGGACAGCAGTATGGACATCTGGGAGGAGTACCTGACTCCAAACTCTCCTGTTCGGGATTCTTTCGCGATGACTGGAGCGATTGCCTACGTACCCGAGACTGACGTCCCTCGAATCTGTAGACACCTGAAGCCCCTCCTTCCTATAGACATGGCTGAGTTTGCTTCATACTACGAAATCACTTGGATCGGGACATCAACCACCAATCCTAACTTCGCTCCCCACATGTGGAATCAACACGAAGCTGCACAGATGAGGATTCCTCGCTCATCCAATATCGCAGAAGGTTGGCATCACGGATTCCATTCAATGCTCTCCTGCTCGAAGCCCACAATTTGGAAGTTCCTTGATTGCCTTAAAGCAGAACAAGCCCTTACAGACGTGAAGAAAACCAAAAGAGACGGGCGGGAACTACCTGAGCCACGTGCACCCGAATGGATCCGTTATGATCGACAACTTCAGAGAATTGTAGATGATTACGACAACTACAGCAACCTATGGATTTCCTTAAAGCTATCGGAAATTTGACTATGCTTTAGATTTGATTCTGTGATATTGTCCAATTTATCGACATCAAATGAAAATAAACTGTGGTAGTAAACTCAGATCATATCTCAAATTGGACATGTTACGTATACAATTTAGCAAGTAACAGTTTAGATCATGTCTCTAATTGGAAATGTGTCGTATTGAAATTAGGTCACAATTTCGGACAGATGTCGTTTTTTTCTGGTACCCTGATTCGGACAGATGTCGCTGTCGGACAGATGTCGCTGTCGGACAGGAGTCGTGTTACCATTATAACATGGTAGCGAAATTACAGCATTTTCTATTTAAAAGCTAATTTTCAACTTTGTCATTTCTCAAGACGCACGTAGCTCATCATTACACATTTCAACAAGCATAAGAACACGTTAAAGTTACGGTCGCTTGCTTGTTATCACATGATCACATATTATGATCGTTTATGACTAAGATGAAATGAGAAAGGTCGCTCGTAAATAATAGTCGTACGGGTTGCTTAGATCGTAAGGGTTGCTTGGATCAATTGATAATCATGCCATAAGGCCATATTGGGTATTTTTATTCTTATAAAGTTATAAGGCATGATTATCACTTTTCCCCCATAACTAAAGTTGTAAAATTAAAGTGTTCGTACCAGAGTAAGTTCACCGGCGTTGAAGATCATACAGACGTTATTGTGATCAAACACGAACTTCTCGTTGCCTCCTGTCGCTGACCAGGCAATCTGAAACACAAGGAAATGTTTTATATGTAGGGATTGTGAAAACAGTTTAAGTGGTGGATTAAATTAAAGTGGCTTCGGACAACAACAACAAGAGTTCTGTTTCTTGAAAAGCAATTCAACATTTGTCTTACCTCGCTTATGCGGAATGTTTTGAGGTCTCCAAGGAGAAGAGTATCAGATGTGTACGCTACAATGTACTTGTCGTTACCCATTATATTTACCTGCAACAAATGATTAAGATTTCGGCAATTCTAAACAACACGGTTTCAGTTATGATCTGAATGGATTTTGAGTTACAAAACATTTTAAAGAAAGCTGATATCTAAACGTTTATGAACCTCTGTACCTTTTGTATCTCATAAGAATAATGAGATTTAACCACCACCCTCGTACCAGTCTGCAAATTCTTCACAATAACTTGGGATAGCCCCACGTAGGTCATCTCAAACTTGTTCTTGTAGATTGTTCTGCGTAGACAACAGTCGAACAAATCAACCGCACCACACAGTGAACCCTGCAAAATTACAAATTACAAATTACAAATTGTTTCTTTCTGAAATCCTCGAAACATCTGATATAAAAACACCGTATCTCTCTGACCTGACGATCAGTGACAGTTTCAAGGACATAACTGATCATTTATTTCAGCAAGAAACTCACGCAAATAAGTCGAGAGCCGTCCTTTTTCCAGCTAAGAGCGGTGATGGTGTACAAGTTGGGAATGTTTTTAGGAGTCCCTTCCTCCCAAACCATCTTCCTTGGAGCCCAGTTAAAAACTCGGAGTCTGTTAAAGCTTCCTAAAACCAGAGAGTGACCGCTGGGACTGTTAGCTGCCACTGTGAATTCTTTCTCTTCTAGATCTTTTGAGTAGTCGAACTGTTGGGTTATTTTTCCTGGGGAGGGATAAAGTGTTGGTATTGAGTAGCAAGTACTCCTAGTGGAATGTTTATTATAGACAAGCTCGACAACCAAATATGTAACAGAAATTGGGAAGTAAGTGATAAAATCCAGTGAAAATAACTTTAAACAGCATCATGATATCTGCTTGATATAAGCTAGTTGATAACATCATAGCCTACCATCAGCAGAGTACATGATGATCCGCTTATCACATCCAGCAGCCACAATAGAACTGCCCCAAGCTAAAGCATACGGAGCACAGGAGTGCTTCACAATCTGCCCGTGGCTCAGACCTGTACCCTCGTTATCAAAGAAATATCTCAGTATCGCACCGTCTGCGTGACCACTGATTATTGCCTTGTTCGATGGACTGAAGTGTAGGTAATCGTTAATCTCTTGAGACAATAAAATGTTAAAATAGATTAATAATTGCAATCGAACTGGTAGGATTTATAAACTCTATTCATTAAACTTCCCAACCAAATATAAAAGTAAGTAAAACCACTAACTTAGCAGCAAGTGCCACCACACAGCTGTCAGTTCCATAAAGTGGCTGAGATTTGTTGGTCCTGACGTTACACAGCCTGATCTTGCCGCTAGCTAGACCAATAATAAAGGCAGGTTGATCAGGAGGCCAGACCATGGCGGTCACAGCTGACTCCTGGATAAACTTGTTGCAGATCGTCTTCCTTTCTCCCCATTCCTCCCCTATCTTGTAGACAAAGACAATGTCGTCTGTTTGCCCGACTGCTATTCGAGTGGAGTCTGGTGAGAAAGCCAGTGCCTTGACTTGGTATTGTTTCTTGATGTTGTTGGGATCTGAAGCTTTGGTGGAGAATTTGTCTCGTTTTTCTCCGTGGTCGTCAAACATGAGGACTACTTTGTCGACGGTTACGACTGCTAGTTTAGCGTTGTTTGGAGACCAGGCAAAGGCGGTCACCTTGGCCTGGCCGTCCTGAGGACTGACCAGGGATTTGAGGTATCTTAGCTGCATCCTATTTGAGGTGAGGGTTGTTATCATCTTAATTTGAATTATAAATTCGGTATTGAGTACATAGCACTAAATAAACTTTCGAGAGCGCACTGTGAATATCAATCTGAAGTTTATCTAATATTATTCCATAATATTCAACCTCGTATGGTCAAATCGACTGATCTTGAAATTTAAACGAATTGAAAGTTCGTCCTTTTTAATTGAAAGAAAAATCAAAATCGTTCGATTAAATGGTGAATTATTGAAATTTAACATAATGTCAATGAAAAATTAAAATTCTAGATAAAAGATTGATAGTATGAATTTTTTATTTGGTCAAATTTGTCAACTTATTTCCATGATAACAATAAAAAATTGAATTAAAAAAACTGTTAGTCCTCTTCATTTCACCAACTTATTGAATTAATAGTATGCCATCAGATCATCTAGAAAGTTTCAATTCAGCAGCGGCCTCTGCCACAAAAGACTGCAGTTTGTAATTAGAAGAATTCGAAAACTCCTTTTCAAAATATTGAGCCAAAGAACTAAATATTATAAACAACGATTTCAAACTTCTCTCTAACTTTTCATCCAACACTGGGACACCGCCATTGTAAATATTCTTCAGAAAAGTTTCCACATATCTGCCAAGAAGTTCACCCGCACCAATATTGTCTAAAGTCTCTTTAGAATGTGTCGCGAGATCAACTACCATTTTTTTCACAATTTCAGTGTCCACATACGCCCCTGTTCTTGATCCTAAACTCATGACATCACTGATGGTCTCGTTTAGCTCCTGCAGGCCTCTTAGTCTTGAGCAGGTGCTGTGTGCGATGTGAAATGCACTGGCGAGGAAACTGTCATCCTCTCTCAGCATGTGTTTCAGTTGGATCGTCTGATAAACACTCCAGTTTTCACTTTGCTCAACAATAGTCCGATTCAAGTGATCTAAAACAAAACCCAAGTCTTCGTCCGACTTTCCTTCAGCGTAATCATAGAAGAAGTTAGCAGGGTACAGCTTTGAAAACACGGCAAAGTTGGCATTCAGCGCGTTACACGGTGTGTAATGATCGTACAATTCAGCTGACTGATCAGCATAAATTGGTTTGATATCTTTTATAACTTTAACGTAGTGTCCCAAATCTGTCTTCACAAAATACTGCACAGATAACTGTGACCTCCCTTCTATCACTTCGCGAAGCTCGGAAACTAACACAGATTTTTCAGATGGTCTTGCTTGAATTTTATTCATGTCCAACAAAATAACATCGTCCTCATCAACTGAATAGCCGACAACAATATGGGTCTTAGAAATGTCAACTAAATGTAAATATATCATCTCAGTCAGAAAATTGAGTCCAATCTCAGCATTGGCAGCCTTGGTCTCTTTAATCATTACATAGTACTCCTCACACCGGAGTGTGTATATCATAGGACGTAACCGTCCACAAATCAAATAATCAGCACATGGGAAGGTAGTGTGCATGATTCTCACACCATCTTTCTTCGTGATAAAAGGGTTGTTTTGCACAGTTTTACACACACTCAGAATAAAGTGAAGTCCGTCGGGATCAACCTGAAGAACTGAGTGATGTAAACCAAATATACTACCCTCAATACAAAATATCTGGTGCTCGGTTGACTTTATCTTAGGTTTATGACGAAGTAGTTGAATGATGGAACTCTCAGGGACACACCCTGTGTCAACTCTGTGTGAGGACAGTAAACATTCTGTCACAAACTCTCTGTATGGGTTGGCGGGGAAGTCACTGGAGATGGAATTTATTACATTCTCCAGAGTTGTATCAATGTACATATCACTTTGGTATTGCAGGAGCACTGCAATGGTGTGCATATTGGCTGCAGACTGGATTTTAGCTGCGTTTTTAACGAGATCAACACCAAATTCATGTGGTTTGTTCATGCTTAGTTCGTAGAATCCAAGCTCAACATCAGGCTGAGGAATCTCCGGGGGAGCATTCTCATCTAATCTCAGCTGACTGAGAGACCGGGATTTTTCTAACTCAGCACTCAGACACTCCAAGTTGCCGAGAACGTGAGGGAGAAAGAACAGAGCAGCTACTCTGCAGGACACCTTCTCCACACCAAGAATTGCAGGAATGTTGTTGTACTGAGTCTTATCATGAATCATTCCTTCCAGAATGTAAACATTGTTCTCTAAAACTTGAGCGTACCATTTCTGTACCGGAGCACAAGATGACTTGTAAGAAATACTATTGAGTAAAGTTGATATGTTCCCCAAAACTTGGGACACAGATTTAAGAATATCTGCTGGGTCTTCCTTTGAGTGAACAAAGTATGTTTCAAGAGCTTTGTATTGCTGAGAAAGATTGTAAAACTTAGCAGCAGTAGAGCGATGAAGGCTAAAAATGTCCTGTAAAATACCAGTATCTGTGTTGTCATTCGCGGATAGAAAATAATGCCAGAGTAACCCTTGGGCGTACCTTAAAATGTCGATATTGGCTGAGGTAGCGAGAAATTCATCACGAACTGCCGCAGCGCTGATGATTACCGAAGGATGTTTCAGACTTAAGAGTACAGACACATTCTTTGGACCAGGATTGTGTGTCACCCTAGTTGCTATAGCTTCTTGCTCTATAAGTGTGGATTGTAGCAAAGTGTCCTCATACAGCAGAGCACCTGCTGAGGTTATCAGAACACCATTCATAATGTTTAATAGAGGAGGTGTACCTATGCTTGATGAAAATAGTTTGCCAAGTTTCTTCCAGACACGATAAATTGTGAAGCTTTTTGATACCCTTAAAAATTCGCCAGCAATGTTAAACATTTGAAAGGACTGAATTTTTGTTGAACTCTGAAGGACATCTTGAAACAATTCTAAATCGAAATTTTCAGCAGTGAACAGAGCAGGCCTGGTTCCGCTGATCTGCAATATTAAAGGAACACAACTATTTCTGTCTTGCAGCAGAAAATCAGTCTCAATAGCACGAGCAGATCTTAACACCACCTCACCAATTGAATCATCAGTGCAGACAATATCTATGTGGAGATTCACTTCATTGTGTACGTTCCCGAGTATAGATTTGTGGAAAGAACTCGGTGCAACTAGAGAAACTGCATATTTCAGATCATCAGGAATGTCAACGGATCCTATTCCAATTTTAACTTTCTCCGCTATCTTACTAGCATTAACCCATTTGAGAACGTTTTGCAGACCCCAGATGGGAGGATCGATATCCGAGGTAGATTTGTACAGAGTCCCTAACCTCGTAACCTCACTCGTCTTCAGGCACTTTGCTCCTGCAATATTGGAATTATAATATCAAAATCTTTCACATATTGCATATGATATGATGGATTATTTCCCAAAATTTTTAAACATTTAAATCCTAACATCTAAAATAGAATTTAAATATCAATATCATCGTGAGATGGTAGTTTAGGGATAATCTATTATCCGCGGTTATGTTAAGGCCATGGCAAAACAAAAAAAATGCACTGAAATAAATTTATAATTTCAAGCATGCACACGGAAGTTCGTAATTTATGAAGTTAACAGAATTCTGTACAATATAAGATGCTTTTAGCTGTAGTAGTAAGGTAAATTAGAAAAATATCCTACCCAATTGCAGGTGGGATTTAGCGATGACATAGTACTCGGAGTTCTTTAAGAAACTATTCAGCAGACTTGTATATGGGTTGTAAGGTAGAACCGGTTGTTGGAGAACTTGGTCTAAAGCTGAGGACACATTTTCTTTGATCTTGCTGTTAGCCAGGTAAGATTTTATATCATGTTCTTCTTCCATGGATAGCAGATAAGAGGTCAACCAACAATCCAGGGATCATGACGTCATCACCATCACTTGGAACACTTTACTAATATGGAAACCTGCTTACATTGTCATGTCCAATAAAAATTGTGATGTAAATATCAAACATGATACAGTAGTTTATTGAGTCACAAGGTCCGGTATTACTACTAGGAAACGACAAAATTTCGGGCTGGTTCAGTTTGGTCCAAACTTTTCATCAATTCCAATAAAATCCTCTTTGCCACACTGTTGTAGAGCACATTTCTGCACACTAAAATGTGAAATTACAGCGGTATATAACACTATAAAAAGATATCTATGTTTGAAAATGGTAACTGTTGTCTAAAACAGCTTCACCAGTAAAAGTTTAGTTAGTTAAAATTGATTTGAAAATGTCTTTAACAAAATATCTTAATTAGATATAAAAATGTGGTTCATCTAATCTAGATAAAAAAGGAGCAAAATTGTCATGAACAATATAACATTGTTTTTATTGTGATGACCTAACCAAAATCATCAATATTGACATAATTCAATATCCATGTAATTGTTAAAACTCTCATTGAGTTCTGGAAAGAAAAGGCATCAATATAATCTCATAGATGAAGGCCTTATATATTATAAGTGTGAAGATAAGAGGTTTCCGAGATGTAGATTATCATATATCTCGAGGGTATGGTTGCATGCAAACCGTTCTAATAATTTATTTCAACCTATAATAAATAATTTAACCCATGATATGATGAAGTATTGAAACATTTCTTATCAACTATTGGCCAAAAACGTTACATCTTTGAAACAATCATCTATTGTAGTGATTGAGCCTTGATGTTATCCGAACATTTTCATAATCAAAATTAGAATCAAGTTGAAAGGGTTCAACAGTGTTGTTATCTTCGTGGGATTGTGAGTCTATCTGGTCAGCTATAATGTTTGATGGTGATTGAGTCTCGCCACCATTTGCTGATTCTCGTCTCGACCTCAAATGAACTCTGCTTGTGGAATTTGGTGCAAAATTGCTTCTATCTATTTCCCCAGGCAGAGAAATATAATCATCGTTGTTCGGAATATGATCAGGTGTTGCAGGAACAGCTGCAGCAGCATCGTTCACAGCTGAGGTGTTAACAGAAGAAGCAGAGTTTACTATAGGAGTAATGTTGTTGGAATGAAAAGAAGGAATGTAAGGATGAGTATCATTCAAATCATCCTCAGGTTGGATTTCACTTTCATCAATATCTTTATCACTGTCATAGCCACAATCTGCACTGACAAAATTGTCGATTCTTAAATTAACAGGCTGTTCCATGAATTCTGATAATATATCAGTGTTAGCAACACTAATACTATCATTACTCATCTGTTCTGGGGCATCTAACTCAATAACTTCAAAATCGTCAGTTTGACTAACATGAGTTCCCACCAATGACGTCCCTGAATTATTGACTGCACCTCTGTCATTATCAGGTACTTCAGATGAACAGTTTTCAGAGGAATCTGTAACAAAACGATTGTCAACAGCTGATTGCAACTGACCATTATTGATCTGTACTGCATTCCTCATATTCAATTCAACGCTGTATTCTGGACTTCTTTCAAGTGATGTTTCTCGCGCTTGTAAATGATTAAGCATAACATCTAAACATTGCAAACCACCATTCGAAAATGTATCGAGCTCACGAATAGTGTCAGACTGTGGAATAGATTGGCTCATAATGGTAAATGTGCCAATATCAAGTGCTTCATCATGATTTTGTCCGCTTATGACATCATTTTCCCTGGTCTCGAGATAAGAAAGAATTCCATCAATATTATCTTCACTGGGAACGGATTCGCTTGTTAGAGAGGGTGATTCACCAACAGATATAAGATTGAACATGTTTGAAAACTGCTCAAAGGACTGATCTTCCCTACCAAGGAAATTATTGAGGACAAGAAGATCTTCATTAGTCAAGCTTGCATCACCAGCTGTAGGCATTGTTACCTGTGAAGTAATAGCAACAATGAAACTAAATTATTTATTTATGATATTGTAGCATAAGGATTTGGAGGTTTATAGCCTACCAAGACATGTGCCGAGTTGGACTTGTCGACAGTCTAATATATGGAACAAATATTTTACGATTATCACCTGTTAAATAATGATCAGTAAAAATATATATAAAGACTTTGACTTGTAAGCGGTATTCAAATCTGAAACCGATTGATGACAGAATACACCAAAAAGATTCAAGATCATTTGGCAGTGAAAATCTTCATTTAATAAACAACTTCAAATCAGAGGGCAGCATCAGAGGGCAGCACACAGAATCAGCGGGAGGGTGGTACTTAGGGTATGTTACACCACTGACCCAAAAAACACTGTTTTGACTGAATTTTTCTTAAATGATCAATAGGTGAGTTCAATATGGATGGCACAAGATATGATTCAGGTACTGGAAGTTATATTACCGAAGAAAGCTTTGATAAACATAAAATCATCAGAATAGACAAAACATTTTAGAAGATGTTTAAATAGAATCATTTCTGTTGTTTTTATGATCGAGGTACTGGAAGCTGAATATCTGAACTTAAGTAACTCGTTACATTTATATATTAATGGTCTATCTAAAGTTAAAATAAGATATGATAAGATTTACAGTAATTCCCCTTCGGGCATCTCAAACAAGAATTTTTCAAAACTACACAATTACGATTAAATAACTAACCAAATTGAAAATACAAAAGTTGTACTGATATATGAAGGAAACCCTAATACTGCTAACAAGATGACAAGAAATTGTGACGGTAGCATTGCATACTATCCACTTAGATGTATAATCGGAATCCGTGCCTGGTAGCCTTCAAAACTTTCAAGTAAAATAAAAGTAAAATCAGCGAACATTGTCAAAAGTAAAAATTGTAAATTTCTATATTTTATTTAAACAAAAAAGTTAAGTTTGAAGTTTGACATATTTTTTTACTGTTGCTGTTAAATTGTACAGTTTTGTTTACCTGGCACACCAATCCCTGAGCGCGGTGCTCTAGCTCTTTTCAAGCTTCTAGAGGGGAGCGAGCAATAGACTAGCAAGCTAGGTCATAGGTAACAGCTTTGTATGCGCATCTTTCGTTACCTGGGGACCTCAGGCTATCATGTTCATAAACAGATTTCTCCGAATAGAGATTAGGCGGAATGACAGGCTGAACGCGGCCCGGTAAATCTTCCGCCGTCTCGCCTACGTTGTACATTCAAGGCTTTATTTTGCATTTCATCGATGCGTTGTAGCGCGATGCACTACTAGTCGCGCGCGCGCATCCAATAATGCTTCTCGCAACCACAGCAGATCGGTGAGATGCGAAGGATTGACATCGTGAATCAAATCGATGCGATGAGACAATGAGTCGGGCAACGTTTAAAAACTTTTATAATGCAATTGCCAACTTGTAGGTTTACAACTTACCAGGACGCGCGCCGAGTTGGACTCGTCCTAATATATGGAACAGATATTAGATATTAAAATATATCACCCGTTAACTGCCAACTACTGTACATTTTTGAAAATATTTATGAATAGCCATATTTTCGTTTTATTTCAGTGTAAGGTATAAAAATAAACAATTTTGTGTGACCATTGCTCGTGTAACGAAATTTGGTTGTCGTTAGCGTTTCGACGCTCGCTAAATTTTTTTCATGGACTTTAATAACACGTAAACATTTTACATAGCCATGTGTCTACGCGCACTGCGTGACGCGCTTGTTTCGGCGGTCGCGCGCTGCTGCAAGCGAGAGGGCTCTGGTTAGAGCAACGTAAACATTAAAGCAATAAAAATGTATAAATACCAATATTTGTTTTCCAATGTGTGCATCGCCCATTGTAGCGCGATGCACTACTGGGTCGCGCGCGCATCAAATAATGCTTCTCGCAACCAACGATTAGATCGGTAGATCGGCGAAATGCACCACTGTGCCTCACCGAGCTGCGAAGGATTGACATCGTGAATCAACATCGCCCATTAATTATTAACAGGTAATACTCGTAAATATTTGTTCCAAATATTTTCCAAGACCGTCGACGAGTCCAACTCGGCGCGCGTCCTGGTAGGTTATAAACCTACAAATTAATTATTAACAATACCAAAAATCTTTCGCCGTGCCGTGAAAAAATCGCAAAGCAAAGCAAGCTTTTTCATTTATACAATATACCACAACATACAAATTTATAAAATTAAAAATTAGCACATGGCAAAACGCAAACGATATTATTTCATAAATTATTTTTAAAAGCTTTACTAAATCATAAATGTCGTTAAATTTATAAAAATTAAATGATTGATTTTGATGAAAACTGTATGAATTTAATTCATTAATTGTTTAAACATAGTATGTAATATAACTGGGAATTAATTTGAATTGAAATTGAAATTTGAGCCGCGCAATATTTCCAACAGTGTAGATCGAGCGCTACAGTAAAATGTATATGTTCATTGATTATTGATTACAGAGCATCAAGTATTCGTTACATGTTACCTGTTGAATCGATCGCAGGACCTGATCCATTACAAGTACTCACTTATTGTCATTTACTAGGTTACTGAAGCTGACATATCATGTGTGCACATGACAATGCCAAAGCTAATACTAGTTACTTAAACGTTCACTGTCCATTATATGCTGAAGATAGATGAGTTTGTTGTTTAGAATTCAGAGTTTTGTCTTTCCTGATCTATTCTTGTTTGTTGCTCAATGTGCAGGAAGACTTGATAGTAACTTTTGTTTCGGGATATGGATGAGATACTCTTACATCAAAGAAACGGCGCCCAAATGCTGCCATATGTAATCTGCTGTATTTGTTGAAGTACGGAAGTCATTTGGATTGAACATCATAGCACCCTGCTTCTTCAATTAGATTTGCCATGGTATCTCCTAGAGGATTTATGTCTTATGAACACATGGAATACCTTTTTACAGGATAGTATATGTGAAATCTGGGTAAAAAGTGATAACAGTAATTCAACGAAACAATAAGTTTTAACAGGACGATCATTCATCCTCACTATTTGCAATCAACAATCACAAGATTCACATGCATATGATGGAATGAGATTAAATGGAACGAATCCCCCACGAGCTTCTTTGATAGTCTTTCCCCTGACCCCAGTATGAGAACGCCCTGAAGTAGAGAGAAGCTAAGTCTCTTTCTTAAATAGCCTATTACGAAACATGAGCAGATTCCTCACCCCTTTTATCTGCTATTTTGGCTGCCACCCGCTGAATGATCTTCGTGCATCTTGTTCCTGAGCCCCCTTTAGTCAAGAAGACAAAAAGTTCAAATGAACCTTTCTCTGTGTCCAGTACTCTATCTTGGTATGTCTCCTTTTTTCCCTTCTCGTTTCACGCATGTAGTGCAGGAAGACTGACAGTAACTTTTGATGTGGCATATGGATCAGACAACCTTACATCAAAGAAAGTGTGCTCAAATTCTGATTACCTTACGAGACATATATATGTTGGGCACAATTCCGGTGAAATAAATGATTTGGGAATGTAAATGTGGGAATTTTTTCCGAAAACCGCCACATTTCATACCCCAAATTAAATCATAGTATTTGGGGATCTAATTTCATCTCCTTATCATTTTACTAAAATGAAACCCAATATTTGAGAAGATTAAATACTATGACATTTATTAGGAAGAGAGTAAGATTTGACCTTTTGAGAACAACAGTCATAGCTCTTAGAGGAGAGAGAGGGTTAAAAAGTAGTAGTGCAGTAAAAATAGCAGAATTAGATATAAATTTGGAGCCAGTTCTTTAAACTGGCTTACTTATACTACTTAAAGGGTGTTTATTTAGTTTTCTATTGAATTTATATTGAATTTTTATATAGGGTAATTGTTATATTATGTGTATATTGTTTGAATAATCTTCTTTCTTAAATACTAAGATCTTTTCCGATAAGCTGTTTCATCTTTTTTTAAATTTCTCCGGAGCCTTTGAAAGTTAGCCTCCACTTAACTTCTAATCCTCCAAACGGTATAGGAATCCGATGTTGTCTAATCTTCCACTACTCCTGAAATTTCACCGCCGTGGCCAATACAGTAGTGACACAGGGTCACGCACAGACTTAATTAGCGGGGCTGGCTATATCATCACCACTGACAATGACAACACTACCCTAGAGGAAAGATCATTCAAGCTTCCTGATTATTGCACTGGCCTCCCTTCTTTCAGGACTTAATATGAACAATGTTATTCTTTCCTCCATAGGCATTAAACATCAAACTGCTCAATCTTACCTTCTAGGGCGATTTTGGTTTACGTTTCATTGAAAAATGGTTCATTTTTTATTCAAAAGTAATCTCTTAGGGGCTTCAGAACCAAATTTAAGTCTCATTCACAATCTGACATATAAATATCCCGCAGTCATGCACCCCAAAATGAGATGTGAGTGTGTTCCCTTGGTGCCCTCAAGTGATTTCAGTTAACAATGATCTTTTTTACTTGATATAGTGGAAAACACTCCGCAGCAAAGTACCCACTCAACAACTCAACTATGTTATGATACGGTTATACTTGTTCATCAGCAGTCCTAGCTGAAACCTGTACATAAGTCATTTCTGTTACTTGCATAATGCACAGAGAATCTGGTGCAGTTTGGGCCTGAGCCTCTTTTATTTCTCTATGATAGTTTTTGTTTGCAGTTTAATACTGCTCTACTCTGTTTTATGCCTGTTTTCCCTAGCAAAATTCACTGGAATACATCCCTCAAACTTATCACTGGGCACTTCTTGCCTACTTGGAGGGTGTTACTTGTCCTCAAGAGCTGTACTAGCTCTGAATCTCCAGACCCAACTATAGGGATTCAGGATCAAGTCACACAAGTATTCTGTAATGGGCCTGGGAGTCCAAAAAATTGAATTGGGCCCTGACCAAATCACTTGCCGATTTCAATAGTGATTATATTCTTGTGCTGATTTCATTCACCGTAAAATTTCTTAATCAAAACTTGAAAGAAAACCAGTACTCAGTAGACACATGTCATTTAAGCTTCATTTGGGTCTCAAGTTTCGTAACAAAGTAAAGTGAAGGCACTGAAATTGCTCAAGACATGCAATCCTCCTCCCCACCTGACATCATGAACTAAGATTCTGTAACTTCACAACTGTTCACCTTAATTGTTATTAAATGTGTAAATCTCTACTACAAACTTCTTGCCATACTATACTACAAACTTCTTGCCATACTATACTATAGTTTAGTTTTCAATAAACCATATTTCATTATACACAATACATACTCGATATTTGGTTGTGATTTGTATGGTTATGATTTATATATAAATATAACAAATTGAAGAAATATATGATTTACTAGATTTATTATCTTACCAACTAATTAGCAGTTTGAAGAAACATGGGACGTGTACGAACGAAGACAGTGAAAAGGGCCAGCAGGCTGATCATCGAGAAATACTACACCAGGTTGACACTCGACTTCCACACCAACAAGCGTATTGCTGAAGAGATCGCTATCATCCCTAGCAAACGTCTGAGGAACAAGATCGCCGGATTCGTAACTCATCTTATGAAGAGGATCCAGAAGGGACCCGTGCGTGGAATTTCTATCAAACTGCAGGAAGAAGAAAGGGAGAGGAGAGATAACTACGTTCCAGAAACCTCAGCTCTTGAACTTGAATCTATCGGTATTGACACTGATACTAATGAGATGTTGAAATTATACGACTTCAAGGGTCTGAAGAATATCACAGTAGAAAGCAACACCCCGTTCAGTACATAGATGTTTTAAATTGTTTTTAATTTATATCCCGATTCACTGTGTTTAATTTGGTGTATGACGAGATGATTGCATTGAAATTAAAGATTGACAAAAACATTCAAAATCAAGGATGAATTTGAAATTATAACAAATTAAATGTTTAGAATAAACAATTTACTATTGAGTGCATGCTCTAAGCCCTAACACCCAGATTAGCAATGGATAATATGTTATAAAGATGCCTAAATCAAAGATCGACAAAAGAAATATAAAGGTAAGTGCACTGATTTACAAGTTAAATTTCAGATACTATTTGAATGGGGGAGGGGGGTAACGTGTCCGCTTAAGTCCCATTATCTCATAGAGTCCAAAAAAGAGAAGGACATCAGCGGACGTGTCATATAAGCTAATAGTTAAAAAATTAAAAAGTTTTGATTTAAAGTTACACGCTACGAATATTAAGGAAATCTCAAGTCGTTCAAGTGACTGAGACAGATTAAGACTGTAAATGCTTTAAGTTACCTTATTAAGAGATTGCTCACATACTAAGCCAGGTTCTTGCTATTTTAGACCCCTTGGCCTCTTCCGTTTTCCACTTAGTTATCACATGGCCAAAGCATGGAAATAAAACTAGCCTTTCCGAACCGCTATTTATCGCGGACTTGTTGTTTGGTCACGAAAAGAAACATACAAATCAGATTACGTTTCTTCTGGAATATAATTTAACAGAAAATTTCATGACCCTCAGCTTCGTTTCAGTTCGAGAACCTTATTTTGTCTGACAATCTTAAAAGTCATGTAATTATGGGATTATAGAACATCGAGAAAATTCGTTGGAGGCCTTTCTTTGTCGTCTCTTAGGTGACAGATAATAGCAAATAACAATTCCATAATTTGAGCTGGAATGTTCACTTCTACTCTGTTCTCTTCTATTCAGTTCCATTCTTTTAGCTCCTTAGAATATAACCAAACATCCTTTTAGTGTTTTGTTAGGGAGGTTTTCTCCATTAGATGATTTGTATAGTGCGACATTACTGGTTATCTCTACGCTAAAATGTTCCTCAAATTATGACGTTTGAAAATGGTCCAACTGTCCTATCAGTATTTACAATTGTAACTTTCATTTAATGGATATTTTGTTGTGCTCCTCTCTGACTTGTAAGGTATTTGGAAAAGGTAGGCAAGATACAACACCTTTTGGTGTACAATGTATATCTGCTCACATCGTGATTAAGCGTTTTGCTTCACCCTCGCACGCGCTGCTCAGTCGCCTAATACTCGACTAATAATAATACCACTAATATTCCCACTATAATAGTAGTAGTAGTAAATCTTTCAAAGTACGAAATATCTCTTTAAAAGAGCATCCTAGGCACCTTATAGATATCAAAACGCATAAAAAAGAAAACAAAAACATCAACCATCTTCTAACTTCTTCCACTCATCCCTATCTAAAGCTAAAAATCTAAGGTTTTCGAAATCAGTCAAATTCTTAAGTCTAATATCAAGATTTCTACTAGTCAAGTCTTTTCTAATAACATCTAATAAGTTTAAACATGGTCTACCCCGTCTCCCTTCCATAAAAATATCAGAATTTATAGCAAATAACATAGAGGTGTATGCTGGTGAGTCTTCCTGTCCTCTTAAGATATGTCCTAACATTCTCCATCGAAACTTAGAGACTCTCACAGACAAGGGAGTGACATAACAACGAGCATAGAGTGCCTCATTAGAAATAACCCCAGTAGGCCATCTGATGTTGAGGATTCTTCGGAGGTGTTTGCGATGAGCAATATCAAGTTCATTCAACGAAGCTAGTGGTGCAGCCCAGGAGTTGCAGTTGTAGAGTAGAATAGAGACTACTTGTGCCTCGTAGATTTTGATCTTCCTTTGGACTGAAATCTTGCTCTTCATCCAAACTTTCTGAAATTTACTAAAGGCAACATTACCAAGGAATATTCGATTCTTGATATCCTTAACAGTGCACATCAACGATCCTAAAGTTTTGTTAGAGCGCCACTCTTCATCACCTCTATACACTTTTCCAACAATCACCTTGCGTTTAACAGTGGGTTTAGGATCTGCTAAATAAAAATGGACAAATTCAGTCTTGGAAGAATTGATATAATACCACTAATATTACCACTGTAATACTCGACCACTTCATAGCAAGGGTTCCTGTCCCTTGCATTGTGTGATCCACGAATCAAACAGATATCGTGGAAGTCAGGTATACAGTTTAAATGCGAACTCTACCCTAGTTGTTGCCCATTTCTAAGTAAATAATCCTTCACTCGTATTCGCCGTAATTCAACTGCTTATCCTGTAGGAAATTCCAACATTAGAAAAAGAATGGACAGAATTGTGAAGATTAGATTAAGAATAACGACATAAACATCATCACTAGTTTTACAAATTCTTCCTAATTTCGTCATTATCAGAACTGTGAACAATTCACAGCCTTCGTTAACTTTTCCAATTCTGTACCTACAGCGTAGCTCTCACCTATATTGATGCTACAGAACATGTGTACAAACCTTACTCCTTGGTCCCTCCATTGCTACGAATTAAATCTATATTTACTCTGCTCCAATCACGTCTTACACTGCTTTTAAGTCCGGATTTAGCTGCATTAGAGCTACCAAACGAAACTTAGTAGTTCTCCAAAACTTAGTAAGACAACTTTCAGTATGAATACGGATCGATTTGATGTGATTTTCCGACATGTATGGCACTAGCCAGTATGACAAAAGGAACTACTGTATTTCTTAGAAGTTGTATGCTATAAAACACCACAAACCATGTCCCGAGAGCAGGGTTCAGCATTTTTATTTGTATATTTCTAATCCGTACAGGTGTACACTGTTACAATTCGCGTCATACTGTCGGTCGAACTCAAAGTACTAGCAAATTTTGTCCATTCTCGTACATCAAGCGTTTCCAAATATCATTTAGGCCAAAATTTTGCGCGCGTTTCTGCGAGCGCGCGAAAAATCCTTCCTAGCTCGCGAGAGAAGCGAATTTGATAAGCGAGCTCGCTTCTCTTGAGATTCTCAAATTCGCTTTCAATCTACATCAATACAATAATTGTCACAAAAATTACAAATATAGCCTGCAAGAAGACCATGTCCAAAATTGCTGGATTATTGAAATTCTCACGAAATGATATATCGTTGGTACAGGAAGGCAAAGAGATTCACCGGTCCGGTCCTCTTGTTCTTTGGGTCAAATTTCTTTATCGTTACCTGTGCGAATTATGCATGGAGTTTACCACTACGTTATTTACATTAATTTTACAACAAATTCCACTTCAGAACCGAAAGTCCAGCTCAGACTATCCGTGTGGTATTTGCGATGAAGAGGTAGGAGACAATGACGATGGTATTTTCTGCGAGAGTGGGTGCGACTTGTGGTACCACAGAACTTGTACTGGCATGACTACTGATGCTTACAAACTCCTTACAACCGAGGTCATTATTGTGATTTAGTAAAACTGACCGGTAAAATCTTGTCTATACTTACTTTTAGATACACCAAAATTCAGCGCTAATCTAGCATTTCAGTGTCTTTGAAAATGATTGATTTCTTACTGCCACGTTCACCGGGATTTTGGAAACCATAAGTCAGATAGATGATAACAATATGTACAGTCGATATTAGTTCCACCTAACCTTCACTAGCAAGAATAAACCTAACTTTCCAATGGTTGCAGGTAGACGCTGAGTGGGCCTGTGATAACTGCATAGTTAGGGGAGGAGTAAAACTTGTTATCAGAAAACCTGACTCCCCTTACAACGTGTTCGTTCCCTCTAACGGACCTGACAACGATAAGAGATCAAAGCGGAACGGAAAAAGTAAATGAGAGGACTTTGCTGTTTTGTTATCAGTTTAAAAGGTCAATTGCACTAGCTGCAATAAATTATTTGTTTAAAGTTTCTGTTAACTTCAGAACTGTGGAAGTTTCCAAGTTATGATTTCTGATCAGTTCTGTACATTGTGTATGATATCAGAAGTTTTGTAAATTATCCAACCGCTTTGCATTTATCGGGACTCGCCCATTTTTCTCCTAAATTCATTATATTCATATTTTATCATTTGTGTAACATAATATTGAAAGATTGTTAATTATTATTATATTTTACTCTGATTGTAAAGTCGGTCGTATCATTTGTTGGTTTTATTTGAAGTTCAATGCAGCTTTTATTAATCGTCCTTCACTGGAAATATGTAATAACCAATTTGGCGATTATCACATTTTATTGATAGGTCGAAATGAATCATGCTGCGCGGTTAGGAAGACACGCCGTAAAATGTACTCGTCACGGATTGTCTGCTGCCCAAGTCCGACATTCATCAACCTTCAATATGGTGAGTTATCGCTAAAAGCTATTTGCTTAAACAATTTATTGTTTAATCCCAGATTTTTAATGCAAAGCCAAGATTTAAAGTTAAAAGATGTGCAAACTTAGAGTGACAATTAATTTTCGAATACGTTTACGTATGATACGAATACAATTAGCTCTGGTGTGCATTTTTAACGCTTCATTGTATAAGCTCTGTTGAATCGGCTCCTAATTTTCGTCTGTAACAACCTCTTTCATTCACAAGTTTCTTGTTTATCTCAGGTTGTGAATTTCGTGCCCCAGCAAGAAGTATGGGTTATTGAACGGTTCGGTAAATTTCACCGGATGGCAGAAGCTGGCATACAAATTGTTTTACCAGTCCTCGAACAAATAGCATACCACCAAAGTTTAAAGGAAATGGCTATGGACGTTCCCTCCCAAAGTGGTATTACTTCCGACAACGTCACTTTATCTATTGACGGAGTTCTGTACATGAAGGTTATTGACGCTTACCAAGCATCATATGGTATCGAGGACTACATTTACGCTGTAAGTCAGCTGGCTCAGACCACGATGAGATCTGAAATTGGTAAACTAACTCTCGACAAGATCTTCCAAGAAAGGGAGACTCTCAACCTTCAAATTGTGGGTTAGTCCAAATAGAATTGTGTACACGTAATCAATTTCGAAGTTTTTAAATTATCCAGTCCTGGTGTCCAATAGGTGTAACATTAACCTTCAAGTGGTGGGTTGGAGGGGTGATGTCACAACACATTGGGATATTACTGTATTATAAGGGCGAATAGTGATGTTTCACAGTACTACTATTTCTTTTCCCTTAGCTGCTATAAACGACGCAGCCGAGTCATGGGGTGTCCTGTGTTTAAGATACGAAATTAAGAATATAGAAATCCCGGAGTCAGTGAAACATGCCATGCAGATGCAGGTCGAGGCTGAGAGGAAGAAAAGGGCACATATTCTGGAAAGTGAGGGAGAGAAGACGTCCACAATTAACATCGCCGAAGGAGGTGAGATTTTTGTACGACTAAATTTCATATTTGTAGAAGATATGTGTTCTGGGTAATCTTATTTTAGCGTGTTTAAAATAAATCACATTTAAATTTTCGTCAGAAAAGCAGAGTGTTATCCTTCAATCTGAGGCTCTGCGATCGGAGAAAATTAACCACGCCCTCGGAGAAGCTGAGTCGATGAGATTACAAGCTGAAGCAAGAGCAGCCGCCATCGAGAAAATAGCAGAGGCTATAACCGCTAATGTAAGTTATCTACTTGTAGTGTTCGCGAGGGTACCGTCGGTTTAAAAGAAATAACAATTTGTGCAAGCGATTTCTAGAATGTGAAAGCCGCTTCGAGTAATAGCTTAATTAACTTAAGGGGGGGGGGGGAGGGGGGGGGGCAATGGGTATTTTATTGTGAAACTTGATTTCGAGATAGCAGTTGACCAACAAACTAGGACCAGTGACCGAACTTTTGAGGGGGTCCCGGACCCCAACCGCCAAACGGTGCCCGCGGGGCTGCCACGCCCATATTTGGTCCAAATTAGGCCCAATTTATCCAAATACCCTGAAATTTTCGGAATCGACTCTAAATCGCATTTCCACCTTCTTCTAGGAAGCTGATTTTTGATTAAGGCCTCCAAAAAAATTTGGCGGTCAAATTCTGAATTTTGCCAGGCAAATTTTGGAACTTGGCCGCCAAATTTTTTTGGAGGCCTAAATCAAAAATGCCCAAATATGGGCATATGTTTTTTGGTTCATAACTCAGTCATTTTTTGTCCAATCTTGATGAAATTTCTTAAAACGAGTTCAGGAGACCACTAGCTACAAGTAGAGCACCATAAACCTGGGTTTTGAGAATGTTCAGGGTATTTTGGCTAAATTGGGCCTAATTTGAGCCCCAAGAGATTTCAATAAGTTGAACAGCTACAATAAATGAAGTTCTACATAACACTGTACAATGATCATACTATCCTAGAACGGAGAAAAAGCTGCAGGCTTCGCTATAGCTGAACAGTACATGACAGCGTTCAAAGAGTTAGCGCAAGAAAGCACGACTCTCTTACTCCCTGCTGACGTTAACAATCCCGCCTCTATGGTCGCTCAGGTAATTAACTGAGCAAGTTTCTGTCTTATGTTGACTGTTTGCGAGCTTCCCTTTCGCTACAATTAGTATTAAGTAATTTCAACAACTGAAATTTAACCATGACCTCTGTTTCGCAGGCTCTGACTGTGTACGATAGACTTGGAACCTCAAATAGTACCCCATCTATCCCTTCCACTGCTGAACCTTCAGCAGCACCAGAAACACAAGCTCCAAACACAAGCGCTAAGTCGACCACTAAATCAAGTCCCCGATCACCTGATGGCATTGAGCTTCTCAGAGATTCTCAAACTGCTTTTGGCTCCTCTAAGGGATTTCCCAAGCAGTTCATGGGACACTGAATGACTGTTCTTTCTAGGCTAAAGTTGCTATCTGCTATCTAGTTTTAACAAACATAGTGATTTTGTTTGAGCGAGGCAGTTTATATCAGAATATGAGGAGTATGAAAATGTCATTTAATGTGACCGTACTCCACTGTCCACAATGTTGGTGAGTTGAGGCTAAATCAGTGACCATTTTAACTTGTTCGTGGTTTAAATTATTGATAGATATTTCGCCTTTTCTGTTATAGATACAGTTACAGTTCGTGGATCCGAAGGGGAAATGGTGGTAATAAAATATAAAATAATGTTTTATCTCAGCTCATATCATTACTTTGTTTCTGATTAAAAAAGTTCAAAACTTGTTTAGCACCGTTCATAAAACTCACGCAAGAATTTTCCAGATTTGAGTTACTGATTTAGTAAATTTGTTTATTTGTAAAAAGTAAGTTAATTACACTATCTTTTGTAATAGTTATCATGTCCTTGTAATCATTTATACAACAATTCGATATGCTGGAATAACCTCAAGAGTAAAGTTTTCTTTCTAATTGTACGTCAACGTCTAACTATATAAACTCCATGCATAGTGCAAATTGTTCAAAATACGGTATCGAAAACGTGCTTCTGCATTCTTGTTCTGGATCCAGATGAAAGTGCATTGACTTGTGACTGTTATTGTTATATTAAGGGGTCGTTCACATATACAATACATTACGTTATCAGCCGAGTAGATGGGGTTTCAAAAGATAACGCTAGTGTAATTTGAAAACAGCTATGTGTAAAAATGATTACTCATTATTAGGGGGCCAAAAAGTGATAACGTAATATGTGAACTACCTGACCCCTAACTCCAGCGTTCAAAAATACGTCTATTCCAGTTGGTTTCATTTATGAACTAGCTTTGGGATCTTGTAACAAAGTTCGAATGAAAAGTGATCTGGGAGTGATCTTACAGTTACACTTGATATTGACACTAATTACTGTTCACGCTCGTTTCACCATTGTATTACTTCTGATCTCGCTGAGAGAAGCGAACAATGGACTAGTAGGTTACCGTTAATTACGTACAAAAACGCGCCCGAGTTAGACATGTATCAAGTCCATGGTCAATGGTTCGGTGATACTTGTAAAAATAAAATATTGTTCCAAGATTGTAGGTTTACAACCTACCAGGACGCGCGCCGAGTTGGCAGTTGGACTCGTCGACGGTCCTAATATATTTTACGAGTATCACCCGTTAAGGCCAGAGGGGGGGGGGGGTAAGGGGTCAAAAAATTCGACCAAAATATTATTTTCTAAATCAATTTAATTTTTGATGACAAAAACATTGCCGCTATTCACATATATGTAGCTGCTTAACTTTCTTTTATAATTGAGGTTAACCGATTTTCACAAAATTGACTATACAACATTGAGGGTAATAAAATTGAGGTTAATATTTTATTACACTCCATAACTTTTTGTTATTTCGGTCAGCAAATGTAAACTCTAAATTTTAGGTTCATAATTATCAGAAAAAGTAATATCCAAAAGTGATTAAATGAGGTTAACCTCTTTTTTTAGATATAGCGAGAATAAATCAAATGATAGAGTTATTATTTTCATTGTAAGTTTACGGTATACACATTTCAAAATAGATGACGTGTTGATCGACTTTCTTTTATCTTGGGAAAATGAAAAAAATGAGGTTAACCATCGCATTTTTGCACCGTAGGGAATATACATACGATTCTTACTTATGTAATGTACCACAATATCGCAGTGAGGTATCTATTGGTATCACAATGCCTACATGCTACAACTATAATCATGTGAAAAAGGTGATTTGAACTGACCATATTTTAGTAGAAGATTTTACCCGTAAATGGCTAAAAAATGAGGTTAACCTCTTATTTTTTGAATATCTGACCAGTCGATTACATGTTAACCTCCAAAACCTAATCGTTACACTGTGTAAATGTTTTACTACATATATAAAAACATATTGATAAACCAATCTCTACTCAGTGTTATATGGTATACTACTGAAAGTGGCTAAAATCATTTAGGGGATGGCCAGGTCTGATCAAGCAAACGTTGTAGGTTTACAACCTACCAGGACGCGCGCCGAGTTGGACTCGTCGACGGTCCAAATGTCCAATATATGGAACAGATATTTTACGAGTATCACCCGTTAAAGCAAACGTTATTAGGTGTATAAAAAGTCCTAACTAACGAACTGTGATACATTCAAGTGAATATTCAAAATTTTGAAAACACTAAATTGCATCTATCTCAAAACACAATTTTGTGGCTTTTTTATTTGACTCGTTTCTCGAATTATGAGGTTAACCAGCTAAATTTTCCGAATTTTTGACATGGTTAACCTCTTAATTCAATAACCGAGTCAAATAAAAAAAATGTGCTGCATAATAAATGAGGATAAATGTCCAAGGAACCACTGTACCAAACCTCAAGATCAGGGAGTGGACGGTTTTCTCAACTAAGGAATCGAATGGTCAAAAAAGTTACAGCCGTTTAAAGATCCAGTTTAACATGTAATTACAGGTAAACTTCAAAATTTAGCGCGCGATATCCCAGTAGCGCAAGGTCAGATTTTGATCCGGTTTTTTTCTTCTTGTTCGTCTTCAGCAGTTATTATCAAATATGTGAAAACTATAAAAGTTCCATCCCCCCTCTGGCCTTAATTCCAAGACGTCTCCGAACAGATATTTTGTTTTTACAAATATCACTCGTTATGCGTTGTAGGTTTACAACCTACCAGGACGCGCGCCGAGTTGGACTCGTCGACGGTCCAATATATGGAACAGATATTTTACGAGTATCACCCGTTAAGTTATGCGTTAACCATGGACATGGATGACGTCGTAACTTTAACCTTTAAGGCGCGCATTATCATCTTTTGTCTTTGTCCCGCTAGTAAAGCTGGAATTGACGGATGTTACTCGTCTAAATTTCTTCGAAGTAGCGCGCGCCGCGCTTTCTTCTCGAGTCAAGTGCTACAAAATAGCGCGCGCCGGGCTAGTCCAAAGCCTTAACAGAATTCTTTAGCAACATTGCTAAGATATCCAAATGTAATGAGGACCTCAGAGATAGTACAACAACCATAGAGTTCTTCAACGAGCATATCAAACACCTCATACTCAAGGAGGACAGTTACAAAGATCACTCCAAAAAAACAGAACGATTAGTAACTGGAATTGAAGACATCACTGAAGACATAGCTGTTATCAAGGATGTACTTACGAAAGTAAAGGAGAGTGGCTCAGCTCTTGAGACAACCAGTTATTCTCTCAAACAGGAGATTGATGACCTGAAGGACTCTCTCAAAAGTATTCCTATTACAGAGCAACCCCCGACCAACAGCAGTACTTTCGATCATGTTGATAACCTGATGACCCAGATCAAAGTGCAATTGGAAAAGATCAATGATCATGTTTGTCCCTCAACGTCCACACAGAAATTTGATGAAGGTGAACTACCCAACAACGACTCTATCGTTATGACCCCTAACACTACTTCCCCTCACTTTGCTCCATCTCAAATTTCTATAGACCCTGCATGTGACCCTTATATAACTTATCAGGAAGATATAGTGCCTGTTGAGCTTCACAGCAAACTTATAAAGCTGCTGGAGGACAGTAGTGCAGATTTTTCTTCGGTTGGTGGCAGCAGGGATGTCATCTACTTTGGTGAACATGGATACTGGTATACAGGAGCATATCATCAGGCAAAGGAAACTCCAGTAGAGATACAAGATCTTTTGGACTGTGTGCGCCCCTCTCTCCCCAATAGGAAGAGCTGGCTGAACTCTTGCCTTGTAACAAGATATACAGGCAACAGTAGCCATATCCCTCAGCACTGTGACAATGAGGTACTTATTGACCCTGAATCAATAATAGTCACTGTGTCTCTTGGTGAAGAACGCACAATAAAGTTCACTCATAAGTCGACTGAAAAGTCCTTAAAGCTCAAAGATGGAAGTGTGTACGTGATGTCCAGGTTGTCCCAGGAAATCTGGAATCATGGTATTGAACCTCTCACTAATGAAGAAGATGAAGAAGAATCTGATGAGAAAAATTCTGTGAGGTACAGCTTTACCTTTAGGCATATTGCGCCTTACTACAAAAATAGCACAGTTTTAATTGGGGACTCAAACACTAAATACATTAAATTTGGTAAAGATGTTGGAACTCTCGGAAAATGGGTTCCTGGTAAGCGAATGTGGGCTGCTAAAATTGACGATATTCCTGCTCCGAAAGACATAGGCCCTTATCGGAACATTGTTATACACACGGGAATCAATGATATTCGGGATGATTCCAACAGACCATCTACTAGAACACTTATTGCTAAGCTTAAGAAGAAATGTAGTGAAATTCAGCAATTTTATCCTAATAGTAAAGTTCATATTAGTCTACTCTTGCCCACTAAATCACAGTTTGTTAACTCACGTATAGGGGAGCTAAACAGTTTAATTGTCGACATGGTTTATAATAGGAAAAACATGTTTATTATAGATAACTCTGTACTAGGTTCTGTTAACGGATGCATGCCTTCTAAGTATGGTCGATTCTCACGTGATGGCACACCATTGGTCAATGATGTTGTACATCTCGGAAGAGAAGGCCTGAAAATATTTTGCATGAGTATAAAACGATGTATTGTACAACGTGGTGGAAGTCAGTCCACGGAAAGATTTAAAGGTGGAAATGGTGACTATAGGAGTGCCCTAAGTAGGGGTAGTAGGGGTGATATCTTACCGATATGACCTCAATAAACTTTAATATTACAAGAGAGAGATGTCCAGGTTGTGATAGCAATGTACTAAGCCATCATAAAGTCATAATATGTGAGTGTTGCGATACAATATATCATGCCAAATGTTCTGAACAGAGCTTTAAATTTGACCATGTTAAACAAATGTGGCACTGCAGTCAATGTTTCGCCTTCAAATCCCAAAGGTACAATCCTTTCAACTCAATTATTTATGACAAATATGATCCCAACACTGTAGAAAGAGACGAAGATATGGAGACTATTTCAAACATTCTAAAAGACTGTAGGTCTTATAACATGACAAATTTCAACCGGCTGTCAAAAAACATACTTAACCATAACAAGCCGTTTATATCTATTGTGTTTAACAACATTGATGGGAACGCATCTAACTTTGACAGCTTTATTACTGATATGAGTCAATATGATGAGAAATTTGCAGTTATTGCGCTAGCTGAAACAAACATTGATGAGGAAAATAAAGATTTATACAAAATTGATGGTTACAGCAGTGAGTATAACTCCAAAACTGATGGGAAAAAGAAAGGTAGTGGCCTTGGTGTATATATTGACAATAAGTACCAATACAGCCGAATCGAAAAGTTATGTAAATGCTCTGACAATCTTGAAACACTTTTCGTTGAGATCACTAACACAGAGGTTCCACAGATTGCTGGTGTTGTCTACAGGCCCCCTAGTGGTGATATTCTAGATGCACTTGCTGAGCTTGACGTGTTGATGAAATTCCTACCGTCT